TTAGATCCTCCCCATTGTCGACTGTCTGCTATGTTCCGGGTTGTTTGTTTACTGTGTGGCAGGTATCTCTCTCTCTCTCTCTCTCTCTCTCTCTCTCTCTCTCTCTCTCTCTGTTCGTGCGCGTCTCCTTTAACCATACACCTGTGGTGGTAGGGGTAACTCAACCAGTGTTTTTCTTTCTCTGGTGTTTGCTGTACGTGCCCAGACCCATTCCACACATACAGCTGCTATTGTGGTGAATAGGTTAGGTTAGGTTAGGTTAGGTTAGGTTAGGTCCTAGCCACTGGCCCAAACCAAACGTCCTACATTTACAATTCATGGTTGTTATCAATAAGGTCCATCCCCTTCCTCCCACGTTAGCTGTACACTGTACAGTGTAACCTAAAATCATTGTCAATGATAAGTTAGATAAGTGTTTAAGGTCAGACGTGAAGTTGGAGACGATAGCGGATATATTTGAGTATAGTGAGGGTCAGCAAACGTTTGGGTGCCGGGAGGGAGGTTGGTTCAAGCTAAAACGAACCACACTCTGCTGATAGCCTTGTTTTGTGGGCATTTGGCCTTACAAATTTACATTTCTTGCTTTCAAACAACCCAACCCAACCCAACCCAACCCAACCCAGTCTACCGTAATACCCCAGTTATGCCCATTTACACATGCATACATTTGTAGTTTTCACACATACACACATGTGAACGTTTGTAAATATTCCTGTATGCTTAAACGTTTCCCTATATAGTATACAGTACTGTACATGACTGGGAGGTGTACAGTATCAGAAAGTACAGTTATCATAGTGATCCACAGGTAAACACAAGATAAACCGAAGCGTAAACGACCCACTCACTCACCTGCTGGGGGAAGGGGGGGGGGGCAGACACAGGTGAAGAGGTCCTCGTGTGAGGCGACAGGTGTAGCAAGTGAGGTGACAGGTGTGTTAGGGTACGGGAAGACGGGTGTGTTAGGGTACGGGAAGACGGGTGTGGGAGGTGTGTTAGGGTACGGGAAGACAAGTGGGAGGTGTGTTAGGGTACGGGAAGACAAGTGGGAGGTGTGTTAGGGTACGGGAAGACGGTGAGTGGGAGGTGTGTTAGGGTACGGGAAGACGAGGAGGTGTGTTAGGGTGCAGGAAGACAGCGGGAGGTGTGTGTGTTAGTGCGGGAAGACAGGTGTGGGAGGTGTGTTAGGGTACGGGAAGACGAGTGGGAGGTGTGTTAGGGTACGGGGGACTAGCGGGAGGAGCGGTACACCTGTGGGAACGTTTATGGAATGGAATTCTGTAACGTATTATTTTGTATTGTTGTGGTCAATTAACTGGTGTGTGTCAGAAATTTAAAATAAAGGGATAGTTGTAACTGTTATCAACAGGAAAATAACCCACTACTCATAAGAAAGAAAAAAATAATACTGTACAGGAAAGATAAACTGATAGGGTCACATCACAAAGGATGTGACGAAGATAAAATTACAATGAGGTTTTGTACTTCGTCCTGGTCGGTGTAGCGTACACAGTTGTTATCGCCTCCACAACAGCGGAGAACTTGTCAAACTAGCACACACACACACACACACACACACGTGTAAGATTAATCACAAACACTTTCCCCTTTCCTCGTCATGTGGGTGTTATCGTTTGGGTTAAATATATATAATATTGCACTGGATTGGCACTAATAAGATAAAAAAATTTGTGTGTTTACTTAGTGAACGTAATTGGTGTTATAGTGTTCAAGTGAAATATTGATTTTTTTTAATTTGAGCTAAAGTAAGCCCGAATTTGTGCAATATTTACATCTGTCGTCAGCTGTTTGTTTTCTTGTAATCGATGAGTCTGAGTGCATGATCATTTACCAGGAAATATTAGTCGTGCAAACCTATTAGGAAACTTGACATAGTGTGGAAATGTATTGCTGTTGTTGGGACTCTGGGGTCACCTTGGATTGTGAGGCGGCAGATGCGTGTGTCATTGTCCGTCCTCTTGATGCCACTCAGGATATGTCGTAACCAGTGGATGGAGGGTGACGTGATAAAGACGAAAGAATACCACTGCCTTGAGCTACGTAAAAATCAGTATCCCGAATGTATTTTTTTTAAATCATTAAGGGCGGATATTTACAGTCAGGTAAATAAGTTAACCTCACAGCTGCTGAGTGTTTTGAAAATGTAAAACCATAACGTATGAATTTTGTTGACACTTTTAGATATATAGATGTAACAGAGCGCAGCATTATATACGTGCCTCACTGAAGGAACTCGTGTCTGACGTCATTATTGATTTATACCAACGTGTGTGGGGGAGGGGGGGGAGGGGTAGGAGAGATGTTAGGAACTGACATGAGTAGGGAGATGACGTGGATAGATTAAGGGTAATTAAGATTAAAATGTTCAGTGAGTAAGATTATTAAGGCTTACCTGAAGAATGTGCACTAACCTAACCTCACCCCTCCCCAGCTTATTTCACCTAAAGATTAACTATCCCAAGATCAACTTAACCTCATCGTCTTAAATAGTGTTAGGTTGGTTAATCTTCAGGTGAATTAATATGGGGTGTATATGCTTTAGGTGATCCATTACTAAATATGAATTGTGGAAGTGATTTATAAAGGAAAACAAAAGTGTTGTTTCTTCATTATCTCGCTGTCTTGGTGATAATGTAATAAATGGATGGAAGGTTATTAATGTAAAATGGTTTATTGATCATGTCTGAAGGTCAATTGGGAAGCCAAGTACGTTAGAAGAGTTGTAACGATCATAAGTGTGTGGCTTCAACTGTCATCTGTTCTGGTGACTTCAGTTTATGGCACAACATTGTCAGTTGATGGGATATTAATTGTAATTTAGATTAGGTTAGGTCATATCAGGTCATGTTTAATGTTATGGGTTGTTCATTACAGTTCAGAGAGGGGCTAAATCGCTAATTTGTGGGTCAACTAATGTGTATTGAAATTATTATAAGAAGCTTGTAAATATATTTTATTTTGATGTTTACTGTATTGTAGACGATAATGACCAGAGTTCACTTGGTGGTGAATGTCGCACTGTGCATTTACATTATATGTGGAGACGAGAGGAGTGTGATGCAAGTCAGTGCTGGGACCATAATGGTGACTTAGCACATTGTTTATCTTGTTGGATGAGGGAGGCTGAGTGAGGCCGGGGTGCAGGGGATGTGTCTATTCAACGTTCATAGTTCATTATTTATCTCTATTCACACTGTTGGCTTTGTGCTCCTGTATAAAGTGCTCAGAGTGATAATACATTTTTTTCGTGTTTATTTTTCATTTGATTCTTCAAGGTCTGACTTTTCATCCCTTGCAATAAATTTTAAACCAAATAATTAAAAATAAATAAGTACTCTTGTATATATCCTGGGAACTTTTAGATTGTATAAACATCCCAATTTTTACAGACGTGACCGTGAGCATCTGGGGAGTTGGTTCTATTTTAGGTACAATACTTGTATATACTGTAGGAGGTGGAAGTGAGCTGCGACCGCCCTGGCCAATCTACCTGTAACTCTGGCTTGCAAAAATAGCCAACCATTGACGTTGTTTACAAAATATATACTTAGGGAGAGCTGACCTGCTGTGAGGTGGATAGACAGTTCATCAATGTACAAGAATTATGAAATCCTTCACGAAACCTGAAGAAAAAAATAAACATTCGGCAGTCAGGGTAGTAGGATAAAAATGTAAGAATCGGAAATATATTGGAGCTGAAAATAAATTGCCATTATGGGTTTAAACATAATGGTACTCCGTCTTAAGTGGTTTTCCTCTTAAGTGTTGAATTTGGAAGTCCGGTAGGTGTGTGTGTGTGTCTGTCTGTCTGTCTGTCTGTCTGTCTGTCTGTCTGTCTGTCTGTCTCTCTCATTTAGCCTTCCTGAAAGTCATGCTGAAATGAATAGATGGAGAAAGTAGGGGGAGGGATGGCTGGTCTTTGCTACAAATAGTGGACAAAGGTGGTGACGAAATATGTCGCAACAGGCCTCGGCACATGACTTCGACTCGCATTCAATTTATTATATCTTATTTTAATCTATTTTATTTAGTCGCAACGATTTTATTTCAACAACAGTATTTTTCTTTGTATAGAATATTGGAATTGGTTTTCCTAACAAGAGTAACTCAATGGAAAATCCAAGGGGGGGGGGGGGTCTGGACCCCCCTTTTCTTCAGAAAATTCCAAGACTTTCTGTAATACAGTATTGTACTCAGGCGTTTTTGTATAGTAAAAAGTATTTACTATTGACTTCAGAATATATTCTAATATCATGTGCACATGACCTCAATGTCCATATTGGTCAGATTAAAAAAACGACGAATTTCCCTTGCCCCCAAAAAAAAACAGCTGGGTGGGCTTACTGCGCTTGCCGTGCTCCCCCACCCACAACTTCTTGGACCACCCCCATTCAATATTCCTGGATCCGCCCCAGTGAGTTGAATTCCTTCCTATCCTCTACACGTCATCCTCCAAGTCACAGTGACATTGTTGAAATTCTTCCTTAGATACTTCAATACTACTTCCTGTAGCTGTGAGAACATGTTGGCAGCACCTATATTGTGTTGAGCTGAGCTGATCCCCTAATAATAAGCTACACAGGTGTTAGATGATGCAAGTGTTCCGTTAGCTATTGTGTACCACCACTCCATGCTACTCAACTCATTGCTTTGTGATGGTTTGTGGGTTATGTTTATTATTATTTTTTTGCAAGAAACTGGTCAAGAATTTAGTCTAGGTTACAGTTTTTTCCCGGCTGATATAGATACATAACCTGTACTGGATTGTATAGCATCTGTGAAACAATTACATGTTGGGTAATACTTATTAGTAGAACTCTGAGGATAACACAAAAGTTCAGAAGACTTGCCTGGTTTTTCCTTGTAATTTGTACTTTACTGTACAGTATTGGGAATATTTAGTCTTTATTTCTTCAAACTGTAGTTCTTGTTTTTCATGGATTTCTTTTAACTCGCCTGGTTTTCCCTTCTTTCCACAGGTGTGAATGCCACCAACACCGATTCGTTTTTGTTCCTGCGTAAGGAACTGCCAGTACGACTTGCAAACATCATGAAAGAATTCCATCTTTTGCCAGAGAAACTCCTGCACATGCCGTCTATGTGTGCAGTGAGGGACCTCTACCGCATGAGTTTTAAGGATCTTCTTGAGTTTGAAAATGGCACTGGCTCCAAAACTACAAGCCTTGACAAGTAAGCAGTGTGTTTTAGTGTTGCAAAATGACCTCTTATTGATGCTTTTTTTTATATACAGTACAAGTACCCGGTATTTCCTTATCTCACGTGAATATTTAATATTAGTACAGTATATACGGATCACCTGAACATTCTCTTCCCCTTTTATTTCACCTGTTGATTAAACAACCTAATTTGACTTCATCCACTTAAATAGTACATATTAGGATGCTTAATTTTAATAGCTGAAAAAAAAATTCGTCGGGTAACATTATGTATATACTGTACAACATTTTTTCCACAGATTCACAGATGCTCTCATAAAAATCCGGAATCGACACAAGGACGTAGTGATGACGATGGCCCAGGGAGTGATGGAGTTGAAGGAAGCTCATTCTATTAATGCCAACACTGAAGCCAACATCCAGTACTTCCTCGACAGGTTTTATATGAACCGCATCTCCATCAGGATGCTCATCAACCAACACAGTGAGTCCCTGTGCACTGTTACCCAGGCACATTGATAATATTAACAGTACTGTACGTACAGGTATCCCTCACTATCCAGATGGGTTAGGTTCCTTGAAGACCATATGGCTAAAAGTTAAAGTAAAGTAAAAAAAAATTGGGGGGGGGGGGAATTGGTTCACAAACAACAACAAAAACTACCTAATTACTGGAATTTGGGACATACCTAATTTCTGTATGGTAATTGCTAAACTAAATAAGATATACTGCATAGTTGTTACATTACTTTACCTTATTGGAGGGCTGTCAGGGCTCATCTCCGGGAGTAAGGAGGAGTGGGCCAATTTGAATTTCTTAAAATGTTTTATCTGACCATCTTTCGGATAAGCGAGAATTGCTTTCGGATAGCGAAGAAGAGGTTTAATAATACAATTTTGGGATACCGAACATTCAGTTAACAAGGGATACCTGCAATTACAGTTTTATTGTCCTCATCTATAAGGTGTAATGTAGGTACTGGGTGCTCCTGTGTAGACTCCAAGTAAAAAAAAAAAAAAAAAAACATTCCAACCGGATAATTGTCAGGTCCTCATGAACTGTCGAGTCCCCCAAATTATTTAAACAGTACAGGTACTCCTCGACTTACGACAACCTGGACATACGACCGCTGTGGTCGTATAAAATATTTTTCAAAATTACTTATTTTATAGTAACGATGTTAGTGATTGCGCTGTGTATTGACAAAATGTTTGTTTGTAATTCCCTTTAAAATGACTGGCAAGCATAAAAGTTAGAGTTTTTGTGGTGCTGAGAAGAAAAAGAGACACCCATTTAAGAATTTCTATATATTATTTTCGCCTTTTCGACTTACAACCTGGTCATCGGAACGGAACCGCGTCGTAAGTTGAGGAGAGACTGTACTTCAATATATTTCTCTTCAGTAGCTGTGGGGGATAGAAGAAGAGTAGGTAATATCTTATCCTTTGATAAATATAGTATTACAGTACTGTACTAATCTCTTCCATGTTTCAGCAATTCTCTTTGGTGAAGGCGTCAACACACAGAACCATATAGGATGTATCGACCCCCATTGTGATGTTGTTCGTGTAATAGAAGATGCGTACTCTAACGCCCGCTTTCTCTGTGACCAGTATTACCTTGCCTCTCCAGAACTTGTCCTCAAGTATCATAATGGTAAGTGTTAGTATCTCACAGGGCTCTGAGGGATGACTACAAGATGTGACTATTATTGCCTTTGCTTAATTTGAGTTTGTGTATAAGGTTCCCTTACCTTTTTCGCCTTTAGTTTTTGGGTTTTATTAGTTTTTCATCCTTCATCCTTTCATATATTACTGGTTTATGGGACTATCTTTTATTTTTTCATCATTAATTTGATGATAACGAGATGGGGGTAAAAATTCTTCCTCTTTGTAATAACCTTTTCATCCTCTGCCCATTTTAGACCCTCCAGCTCCTTACCATATAACATTACCATATAACATTACTGTACCTTTTCATATAACTACCCTGCTTGCTACTGTTCAGTTTTTAACCTACCTGGTATATCTTAAACAGAATTGTTAACCTGTACTATACAGCACTTGATCCTGTATATATTTGCATTCTATAACACTGTACAGTAATCCCTTGCCAACTGTGGGGTTTACATTTAGAACTCTACTGTGTTTGATGGAACTGTAGCTATCAAGGTCTGGCTGAGTCTAATGGGAAATATGGGGTAGAGGAAGTGACCTCTGGTAGACATGCTGTACCTGAAGTTCTATGATTTACTGCTGAATGTTAGAAATACAGTACAGGGTGTGTTATACTGAAATTTTTTTATTTATTATACTGTATGTAATGCTGAACAGTACTGTACACTGCACACCTGACTTCACTGCTCTCCCTAACAATGCTGCTACCCCTTGTAATGCAAATACTGTACTGTACTCTCACTGAGCTCGGCTAGAAATCTGCAGTAGCCATAAAAACCTGTGAATAATTAAAACTGGATGCATTGGTTGGTAAAACAGTGTACAAAATATTAGATGTACAGTATAGTACTAAAAACCACAGTTATAAAACCTGTGATTGGCCAGAGATTACTGTATAGGTTTATCCCCAATAATCAAATGTATTCAAAACTTTAATTTTTACACATTTAGTTTTACATCATCCCCTGACCTTTAGTATCTGCCATGACCTCTTGAATAAATTTTATTGTTCCTTGTCAGTACTGTTATGGCCTTTCCCAGATGAGATGGTCGTGTGATGAGATTGATATTACTACAGTACAGTATTTTAATGATGTATGTTTGTGGGAGTGTGTGTAGAGATTACAGCAAGACTTCTATATAACAAAATTCTCTCTCTCCATATAATCATTTAGATGGGTATTTCACATCTAACGGACCCTCGATATAACGAACTTTCTTCTCCATATTGCATTACATAGAGGTTTCACTGTAGTAATTATAACAGAAGAATGTTTTAAATTTAATTTTGATGAAGTTTAGTAGGAACGTTTCTCCGTAAAAGCTTGGATGGGATTGATTGTATGCACAACACTGATCTTGTATGACCTTTCCAGAGTGACTGAAATGTGGGAAAAATCAGATTACATTTAGATTTATAAAAACAAGTCAGATTTAAGGGGTTGTTCACTTTTTCTTATTATGTCTAAGATAAAATTCCATCACACACTTGCCTTTGTACACTTAGTAAATTATTAAAGATACGTCAATAAGGATTTTTGATGGTTTTGAAAAATATTAGTGAGAGGTAGTGGTCAGTCGTCTATGTCAGGGGAATGAATGACAGAAGGCAATGCTCGGTAAAGGAATATTTGTGTTACTCTTGATACTGGTCACAGTGCCATGGCTTCAGAGATATATATATATATATATATATATATATATATATATATATATATATATATATATATATATATATATATATATATATATATATATATATATATATATATATATATATATATATATATATATGCTGTAGTTATTTCTAAATAAATGAATGCATTTTTACTACTCATATATTCACTCGCTTCATTTTACAGGCATATGATTTATCAGGACTGTGATGTAACATTGAGATATATTGTTGCAAGGTTCTATGTGTTTTGGTTATCTTATTGAACTAAAGTAGTTATCATGTGCTGGGACTTAGAAACAAGGGCATTATGAGAGGGGTGAAATTGATTAGGAACATATAAAGTGTGTGTGAGTGCTTGTTATAGGTGATTGAGTGCTTGTTATAGGTGAACGAAGGGAGCAGAAAGAAACAGAGTTAGTTAGGGGAGACGGAGGTAAGCGGATAATAAACGGAAGTGGGAAGGATGGCATAGTGTCCAAGGTCCGGCAGCTGACAGACAGGCTGGGTTTCTTCTAGATGTGTATTAGTGGTTGTAGGGAAATTTGACTATACCCTGTACTGTACTGTCTCCTGAATGCAGGTTTGTGCTCTTCACAGATATAATTACTGTTTAGTGACCATACATGTGCAGAGTAATAATGGGTAGTGAATAGATATTTTGTGTCATATTAGTTGATTCTTTGTCCCACTGTGATGACCAGTTGATTGGGAGAAATTGATTACTGTAGTTAGGACCTATTTACTAATAATGATCCCAGAAATGTTATTAAATTTTTGCCTTTAAGAAGTCTTATTTCATCTAAGGCTGACGGCTGTATTCTTATGAAGATGGTTTAATCACCCCTTTACCCCCTCCAAGATGGATAACTCAAACTTTTCCATAGTTTTGGAAAAATTTGGCAGTTTTAAAGCTCAAGGGAAGCTTATTCCTTCAAGGGCTTTCCATTTTTCTTGGATATGAATTCCTGCTTGAGCAGAAGCTCCGTTTGAAATATATTTAGGCATATGGTCACAGTAGCTGAACCGAGGTAAAATTCTCGTTATACTGTACTACTGTACAGTACTGTATTTGTCGTCCATGCATATGAATTGTATGTACATCTGTTCATTCATCCAATGCCTTTAGTGAAGGTTGTATTTGACAAAGGAAGAAATAGTCTCTACTATATCCTGAGTGTGTTGAGGGATGTGCAGTGGGGCTTTGGTGTGGATGTTGTTTACAGTACTGTGGGCAGCAGCAGGCTGGTTTTGTACTTGTTAAAGTTCTGTTCCTACTCATGTTTGTGAGGTGCCTTTAGGTTAACAGGAAGTTATTAAAATTTGAGAAATTTGAAATATTAACACCATCAATAACAATTATAAATAGAAAACAAAAACAAATACTGTGTAGTGGTTTACATAGCCATAAATATTTAATATATTATTACATATACTGTACAATACATACTGGTATCAGGACTCGTAAATTGGTTTTAAATAGATGGTAATTATTCACGACTAACCTGCGGCCGAAATTGATTGAAAACTAATAAAAAACCTGCCAGGTTTTCACCTTTTTTATAGTGGACACTGTTGTAGTTTGTGCAGATGTGTTAAAAAAATGGATATTTTAAAAATAAATTTAACTTAACATTTGTGGGCATGAAAAACAAACCTACCTTACTTGGACCCCCCTGGTATATTAAACAGAAAGAACTTACTAGGATGTGGTGAAATTTGAGGCATTTTCTGGATGTGAGATGATACTGCCGCATCAGTGCTTATGCAGCACGGGCGGTGGAGTGATTTTATGTGATGGCGGGAAATTTCGAGCCACGGCAATGAGGAAGTGATGAACAAATTTGTTTCCGGTCTGAAAGACAGGAATTCCCGAAGTGTGGACAGTCTCTATTTAAAGGAACAATGCCATGGTCTTCAAACAATTGAAGGGTCTCATTGTCTTTATCCCTAAATTCGCAAATTACGTCCATATAAGACTGGCGACAACCTTTGAACGTCATGCTGAAAATGAAACTGCCACGAGCCCGGGGAATAGCACAGCAGCAGAGCGCGTCCTCATTACCGCCGGGAAGACAAATTACTGCGTGCCTAGTCGCCTAATTATTTACAAAACGAAACATTTGCACAAAAAATTATTACCGTATCACAACTCACTGATGAAAAAATTGAAAATAAAGTGATAAAATAATCATAATAACACTGTAATAATAATAATAACAACAACAACAACACTGTAACAATAATAATACTGTAATAATAATAAAGAACCATAAAGAAATAAAAAAATAAAAAAAAGATCAAAAGTGAGAAACAATTTATATATATGTTGTGTTGTCAATAGTAAGAGAAACAATTGAGACCCTGCAATTGTGTGTAAATGAAGCAGAAAGTCAGATTAGCAACCTGGGACTTGGTCACAATTTTTTTGATGACATGGCAGCAGGGTTTACCATTAGACAATAGTACATTATGCTCCCAATATCTTCCCAGGCAGTAGAACCTCCCTGTTTGGAATCTGCCTACTACCTTTCAGTATTAGTTATAGCACTTGTTTGACCTTTAAAAACTTGTAAGTGGATTTATTTTATGTTAACAGGTAAACCATATATGAAACTGTACTGGAAATCTACTATGGACTAATCCAGGCTATATTTCCTCATCTTCAGAAATTATGATTTTTATTTGTATTACAGGGGGTCCCCGGGTTATGAACGGGTTCCGTTCCTGTGGACATTCTTAAGTCGGATGTGTACGTAAGTCGGAACACATGCTATGTGTATACAGTACTTACAGAACCATGTTTAAAATCCCACTATATCATAGCCGAAGTCCTTATATACATCTAAAATCACTTAATTTAAGACAAAAAAAGAAATAGAATGACAAAATACAGTAAATGAAAGTAAAAAATGAGTCATTAGGTAAATAAATTATTGTAAATTTCACGTTTAACCCTGTTCGTATCGGCGGACGTTCATAAGTCGGACCTTCGTAAGTCGGGGTACCCCTGTATATTGTTGCTAAAGTAATCGCCAGATTTATTCATATCAACAATCCAGTATAAAGAAATTGTTTCTGGTTCCTGATACATATTAATAAAGAGAGCCATGAAGGGGACAGTGGCAGGGTATTATAACTGACCATACACTAAGGTGCAGCAAGGGATGTTAGACCCATTAGGTGTACTTAATCCTTGAAGATACAGAGGTAATCCTCCCCATTACATACAATAAGAATACGGCCGTCTGTCTCTGGTCGAATCACTTGTGTGTGGTCTTTAGCAACACTAATGGTAGAATGCTTTGCTCACTTGCACCCACAGAAAAGGACAGGGCGACAAAAACCATTAAAGAAGCTGGAGAACCAGGTACTGTACTTCTTTTTTGCTTTGTGTATTTTATAATCTAATGTTTTGGTTCGAGGTGACTTCTGTATGGTGTACTAACACAACTAAATATTGTATACAGGTTGAAAATCGAAGTCGTGGGTGGAACTAATTCACTCGGTTACCTGACCCAAAGAAGATGCTCTTGGCAATGAGTTTTACCGTTCCATTAGCATGTGCTCTCCACAACCATCATGTAGCTTTGATTTAGACTAGTCATTAGTACATTCATTCATTTTATAGATTTAGTCTGTTCCAGCCTCTTATTCTGACCACACATACTCTTCTGCGTGTGTATATTATATATATTTCAAGAGGTAGTGCAACCCTTCCTCATTTTGTAGTTTTACAGGATTCAGCTGTTGTCATGCAGTCCTTAAGAGCTTTAGTTTGAATGAAAAGTGTTGCTTTTATGATTTCAATATTGCATTAGTATTCTGCATAACAACTCATAATGAGTCCAGCTGCTATGTAGGTGTATGGTACCACATGATGCAACACTCAAGGATGAAACTGATTTTACAGTTCAGTCTGTTGTGCAGTAGACCATGCACAGTACTTCATGTGTGGGTGTCTGACCTACAGTTCATAAGGTGATAACCTGGTATGGTTTGAATTGCGGTTTCTGGTCATTTTTTTTATGGTGTTGGATGAGAAGGTACACCGGGTCTGACAGACAAGGTTAATCACACCTCTACATGTTATTCCTTTACAGAATTTGGTGTACTGTGCTCTATAATATTCTGCATTAGGATTTAGAGGAACCCTAGGTCTGACTGTCAATTAATACTGGATTGGGTTGATCTGAGGGAGTAATCAGGTTATTGAACCATTTCCTCTTAGGGGGTATTGTTTCTTGTTGACCTTGAGGAATCCATACAGTCAGACCTTTACTGAGGGGCCTGGACATGGGCTAGGACCTATTTTAGTTTGCACGGGGAGCTACCTTATGCTTTCACACTGCATGACACTGGGAATTAAAGCTTTAATTATGCTCCACTTTTTGCGTGCTTGTTCAGGTTCATGTTTCTGTACATAAATTTTCTGTCAGGGTTTGAGTTTAAATAGGGATTTATTGTGAAATGTTATTTTATCACCAAGGCTGGATCAGGTTACTCTTACTAACAGGTGCCTGGAACCAAGGCTGGACTTGTAAGTGCACACACTGATATGGTGTTGAAATCATAGTCTTTGGCTGAAAATGGTTAATGTATCCAACTGCATCTTTTTTATTTTTGGGTATGACAAAAAATATGAACTAATGAATGAATTAGCTCCAGCCATCTATGTCAAGGGGTTTGTGTGTTGACTCCTAATTTTGGATTAAATTTGGTTGGCTGAGTGGGTGACATAGCCTTAGTTGCTGAAGCCTCTTCCAAAACACAATAATCAATATATCACAAGTTGTAGCCTAGTATTTTAACCCTTGTACTTGGTTGGGTTATACAGTACATAAATCATCTGACCCATACTTGGTTATTAAATGGAATTTCAGAATCCGTCCTTATTTGTAACCTGTTCTGTATTTTGAAAAATAAATAATGAATGTACATCTGGCTAACCCTCTCCCTTTTTTATAACATGTTTCTAATTAGAAGTATTTGCACGCACCACTGAGAGTTAGAAGGTGTGTGTGTGTGTGTGTGGAAGAAAGCAAGCGAGTTAAACAGTTAGTCATTCTACCTCAGTAGAGAGACAAAAGGTTGAAAATTTCACTTCTCTTTTTTAATTCTGTGTAGATTACTTTACCACTGTAGAAACATGTTAGTGACGAGTAACAATACAATAGCAGCTTTTTCCGCCTCTCAAAGCATTGTAGTAACAAAGGTACATACAAAGGTACATACTTGGCTAGTTCTCTTGGCATTTTATCTTGTTTCTGAGATGTATTATACAGTCTTTGCATGCTTGGAGTAAATTTTATTGTAATATATTCAAAAGTCATTAACTCTTAAACAGCAGCTTTCATTAGTGGATGTTAGCTGGAGGGATGGTGGCTATCATCAGTGGAAGAAGTTAGCTTTAGGTCCTAGAGCAATGTTAAAGATGTTTCTTCTGACCGTTGCAATGCTTGTTGATACGGTGAAATCTCTACTGAAGGTAAACGGACTTTAGTGCCTTTAGTTGACTGTACAGTACAGTATATATGTGTTAGACAACGAAATAGACACCAATTTAAGTTTGGCTCAATTTAAGAAAGAAAATATCCACGATAGACAAAACCTTTCCTTCTTTTCAGGGTGGTGCAACCCTTAGTGTTTAAAGGTCAATTTATCTGCTCCCATTGTTATTTATTAAGTGTTGTTGGCCCATGCATGCTAATCTCTCTAATGTAATTCTAAAAGTCTATGTGTAATGGAAACCAAGACTGATAATGCTACTGGATTTTTTTAATATCTGTATATATTTATTTGTGCATTGTCTAGTCTGTTCATATTGATATGTGCAATAAACATTGCAGTGTGATTATCAATTGTTGCTTTAACCCTTTGAGTCCTGGAGGGCTTAATCATCACCCTAAAAGGGTTGAAATGTCATCATCAGATGTTTAAACCATTATCCTCAAAGCTTTAAACCATCATCGTAAAAAGGTTAAACCATTATCCTAAAAGGGTTAAACTAATATCCTAAGTTAAACCATCATCCTAAAAGGGTTAATTTAATACCCTAAAAGAATTAAACTATCATCCTCAAAGAGTTAAATCACTTGTACTGTAAGGGTTTACTTCATATGCTAAAGCAGATGCCCGCATTGTGCTGCACATGTGTAAGTTTTTGCTATCATTGTTTGGGTCACTATATAATGCCGTATTCTCTTCAAACTACTGTATATGGTTATGCAGTACAATATAGAGAAAAGGGATGAATTATCAGTACTGTACTGTATTGTAATCTGGTTATTCAAGTTTTATACTGAGCTTAGCAAGAAGATAATGTTCTACAGTTAGTGGAAGTTACAAATATTCTTTACCATTGATGGAAGAATTTAGAATTTACAGAGGAGTGATATTAATGATTTAATGTCATAAGTTTTATGGATAATTCAAAAGATAGAAGAATTATTGAGTCTTAGATTAATACATTATGAAAAAGGAAAGGTGGTATTGTGTGTGTGTGTGTAGAGAAAGAATTGGTTATAACTCACATTTTAGAAAAAAATATTAAGAGAAATTTCCCCTTCGTTGCAGTGGACAAGACTCCCGTATCTGTTGTGTATGTTCCATCTCACCTTTACCACATGCTGTTTGAGCTCTTCAAGAATGCCATGCGCGCTGTGGTGGAGTACCACAGCCCTGGTGCAGATGTGTTCCCCCCTGTAGAGGTGCTTCTAGTCATGGGTCAAGAGGATCTTACAATAAAAGTATGTATTTATATGCATTGTTGACTTGTATTTTATTATGCAGGATAACAGCTCAGGTACAGTCAATTATTAAAGTCCTTTGTTAGCATCTCCCTCTGAACCACGAACCTTTAGATTCAAACTCGTGAACCCGAAGTATTTATGGACAGACTAATGTATTTGTATGCTGCTTCGGGTTTGTGTCAAAATACTGATCTTGGCCATGTGTAAAGTGTGTTAAAATACAGTATTCATTTAGGATGTCAGTATAGCTGTGGCACCCCCTTTGAATTTCTAAAAAGCATCATTCCTCTTGTTCTTCATTCTTATTTTCCTGTATGAACACAAACACTTCACTTACATAGAAATGGCCAGGGTATGGCTGAATGATGTACTAATAGATGAACTGTGCAAAATGGATCAATGTTAATAATGGTCAACAACTTCATCACTGGGACTTTATTTTTCAGTTGTGTGACCAAGGTGGTGGCATCCCCCGTAGCCAAATGGACCTACCTTTCAACTACATGTATTCAACGGCTCCACAACCAGCTGTGTCAGGGCTGGATACACCTCCTTTAGCTGGTTACGGATATGGTCTCCCACTCTCCAGATTGTACGCTCGCTACTTCCACGGAGACCTGATGTTAACGTCTTGTGAAGGTTATGGGACGGACGCCATAATCTTCTTAAAGGTAAATAAATATTTATGTAGATGTTGTACAGTATACTGTACTGCATATGTTATTAATTGGAAGACCAAACTGAAGTTTCAAGTAAGAAGAATGACGAATTGAATAAAGTTTTGCTGATTTTTTAGTATTACAACTGAATCATCATATTAAGTGCACTTATTTGTTTAGAAATATTTAATTCAAGATGCAATTTCAATTTGAATACTAATTATCAGTTCTATTCCTTAGTTTAGCTGTGTTAATTCATAGTGCAACTCCCATTCTGAAAACATTAATCACAAAAGCATGCACATATACCATTGGATCTTCATTCAAACTTAGTTCACTCTTTACGTAATGACAGAGTATACTCATGAAGTCGATATTTTTGAGTAAGTTCTTTTCAGCTTCTCATATCACATTAGAATCTATCAAAAAGTTAAAGCTTGTATTGAGGCCAAAGCAGGCCAACTAATCTTCTTCTATCACCATTTGAAATAGTGGAACATGCATCCATTATCAATGTTCAAAACTTACTGGAAACTACAGAAATTTTATAGGTATCTCAGGAAATTGTAAATGAATGAACTAAGAATACTTATGGAGTGAAAAATTATGCATGATTGAAGGAATGTGAGAGTCAAAGCTCCACCTGAAATTTTGTTTTGAGTTTTACTGAATATTCTTAAGTTTTGTGGTGGAAATGTTTCAAGAGTTAAATACTGTACATGCTGCCTTTAAACTTACTCTCAGGATGATACTGTATTTGAATTTGTTTGGAGAGCTCTTGGTAATTTAAATTTTGCTTTTGTTACAAAGATATTTTGGTAACTTTGCTAATAGTTTACTGTTGTAGTTACTGTACTTTACAGAGTTTTGGTAGTACTGTACAGGAGATATTTTCATATACATTGTTCCTCCTTATAGGCACTTTCAAGTGAAGCCAATGAATTGCTGCCAGTGTACAACAAGACTTGTCAGAGACAATACTCAACTCCCGTCCAGACACATGATTGGTCCTCACAGATGCACTCGGCCATGTTTATACGACCATTTTCTACTAACTCCAAACCTAAGGCTCAACAGGTAGGCAGCAATACCATTTTAAATAGGGATTGTACTGTCACACAGTAGAAATATTCCTCATATCAAAGGGGCAGGGCGAGGGTATAAGTTTTATGAATTACTTCTAAGTTCAAATATGTAAAAGGTCTCGCTTCTCCGAGTTAACTTGATAATGGAGAACTCTTGGGAATTTGACCCAGCATTGTAATAATACACTTGACATTGACAAGTCAATTGGAAGGTTAATGTGTTTTTCTTTTATTGCCTGTTCCTGGACGTTGCAGTATAGTTTTGTTTTACGTACCGTACAGATGTACAGTACTATTCATTTGGAACTGTTCCTGTAGAAGTATTTCAAGGCTTGCTTCAACTAGATTGGTACTCAATATTGTCATTGTTAAGTTCCACCTAGATCTATGGAATTGTTGCATAAAGTTTCCAGATACAGGTACTTTGAGGAGCAAAGGAAATCCAGTGTAGAAATTGAGGTTTCATTTTCAATGCATTTTTAAAAGACAAAAGCATTTATATAAATAAAATAATTATTATAAAGCTTGCAGTGCAGTATATCAGGAGGAATCTTATAAAATGCTGAATATGAGAACTGTTGTGTGGCATAAGTTTATATTTATTAATTATTCAGAGTTAAGAAGAAATTAATCTTCCCTGTAATGTATTGTACTATCAGTAAAGGCACATTGATAATTTATGAGAATGACGTCATCCTCTTGGTGCTGTGTGGTACCTCTGAACAGTACGGAGTCCACAAAGAAAATCTGTTCCTTGTATGGAATAGTTTTGTTTTTGAGATTACACAGTGTAACAATTTCACATAGTACTGTATGTAAAATAACTGAGAGAGTGTTTTACATAAATTTCAGGCATTTAAATGTAGATTTTGATTGATTTCAGTTGTTTGGTTTTGCATTTTGTAGTGGGTCAGTGAGTGGACTGCCAGTGATAGTGAACACTATGCCGTCTGTCAATGCTGTGGACAGTCATACAATTAAGCTTTTTATTTTAATTTCATTGTGTTTAATGGTGAATATTGAAAGTAGTAAAAATGCATTATTGATGAATGATCATAAACAAGGTCACTTTTGATGTATGAAACTTATTTTACTTTCAGACTAGAAGTTGTTTTTATTGTGTTGTTTTGACACTGCTTTCCACTGATTTGATTATCATTTAATATAAATTAGTTTCACATGTTAGTTATGGTTTAGTGTGTGTTCCTTGTTGACAATGCAATTACTGTACAGTATTGTATAAGGTTGAAAATTTAAAAGTAAATGAAGATAATTTCTGGGGATGAATTTGGAGGTGGACAATATTGCTCAGCCTAACCAAATTTTAGTACAGTACAATTTTCTTTAAAATGTTTGCTATACAGGTACTTCATTATTTGTAATACTGTATTGAGAACCAGTCCTGTTCATGAGATTATAAGCTGTTTGAACTTAATTATGATTACATTTTAATTTAAAGAAAATAAATCTTAGAAAAGAATAAAAAAAAGCAGAAAATGAAATATAATTTTCTTTTATATATCTCATCTCAGTGTAACCAAACAATGCAAAAAGTAAATTATTTGAGTATTTTAATATATGTGTACTGTATAATGTGATGATTACATTTTAATTTAATTATATGAAGCAGGTGTATTTTTAACCTGTTTATGAATTGTGAATGTTCCTCAAGATAACCTTTGTATATAGAGAAACCATTATATTTTTTAGTAAATCTTTAGGTTGGATCAGTTGGGTTATGTATGTAAATTGTGACCTATGTTATACTTGTACTGTACCCCACACTACTACACTCTTGGTAATAACAATTATTTAAGTACAGTATAATTTTATTTAAAGTATAGGTTTACAAAATACAATGACCCAAAGTATATGGTATGTTAATTGTTCTCTTTCCTTGAGATTGTAAACTTTGATTGGGTTTTTATCTCGTGTCGGACTCTGTAATAAGATACGACTGCAGTAGGTTACACAAGTATTTTATTTCTTAAAGGTCTGTGTATATTTTATGACTTGGGACCCATCTGTTGGGAATTTCTGTAACATTTCACGGAGTAAACCGCACGCATATTAACATTTTATTGGAATATTAAGTGAATAAGTTTTGTGGATTTTTTTTAATGAAATATGACAAAATATTCTACCTCTGAAATATTTATAATTACATGCTTGTGTTAAACTGAAAGTGATTGAATTTGACAAATATGAAGAGACAGTATTATTAATAAGAAACCTCAGTTACTGAGTTTGTGATGAGATATGAACAAGGTTTAGACGATGCTGGAAATTTTTATGATGAAACATTTCAAACTAAATGATAATATACTGTAAGTGTCAAATATCAGTGCTTTCTAGTTTATATCAGAAGTGTTAACTGTTTTCAGGGGAATCGTGCATTGGCTGATTGATTAGTAACTAAAATATACTATTGACAAATGATGCCTCTTGAGGAAATACCGTAATCTTTGAGTCAGTTTTTCTTACTGAATATTCTATCTGCCTTTTGGTTTTCATCTTAAGCTTAACAGTGATGCATAATAGGTCATAATATATCAGTCTTTGTACTTTGAATTACTTTAAAGACAATGAATAGGGCATCTTTAATATTTCAAAATATCAAATGTGCTTGTAGCCAACTTGTTCCCTCACCCAAACCATTAGTCTCTAGTAAAGCAGCTTTGCAGAGGATAAATTTAGAGAGTGCACATTGAACTGTCGGGTGCTGCAACACTCCTGTGGTTTTAATCACTTCTTGGTGCATCTTTGTATGGGGGTAAAATATATAAGGAGTGAGTTAGTTTTAAATGCTTTGGTGCTGTGACACTTGTACAGTAGAGTGTGTGTGTGTGTGTGTTTACCATTTCATATCTCATCACTTGTCTCTGTTGATGGGACTACTTGACGAAGCCAAATAGTATCTTCCACTTGTACTTTATGTACCTCAATGCACAATGACATTTAAGATTACTATTTTTGTATGGGCTACTCAATGAAATGAATAGTTTAGTAGCTACGATACACGATTGATAATGAAACATCATGACCACTTTGGGAATTTAAGAGTGACGAACTTTTATTTCTTCAGAGAAATAGTATTGTACAGTATAGCAATGTTCTGTAAAATTATGCTGAAATAACTTGTTTGGTGTTCCCTTGCAAATGATATCATATCAAGAAGGTTGTAAAATGACAAAACTGTACATTGTTGAAGTTAACTTTATGATAAATAGGATTGAGTACCTTGAAAAGATAAGGAAACCCACTCAAAAATTACTTTTAAGGAACAATATATGTTTTTAAAGGTGGATAAACAGTCATTCAATATAACATTATAAGGTTTACATCACAAACAAGTAAATTTTGCTCTTGAATACTGTACTCAAAGTTAGTATTTCCAATGGCAGGGTGTCAAGTGCACTGAGTGCCTGTAATACTATACGTACCTTGAAAATATGTACTGTATGATTCCACCCATGGTTTTAAAACAATGAAACATTTATATATTCTTAAAGGTAGGTTATTATGTAAATGAAAAATAAGTGGGTCCTGTAGGCATGATGGCTCATGGTTGATGGGCGAATTGTATACTGTACTTTTTTTAGATCAACTTTTGTGTTGAAATCTTGTGAACTGCATCATTACCAAACATTGCAAATAGCATAGAACTGTTATACAGAAGGTAGAAGCACACTATGTGATAAGAAAGTCCTAGCATTGTGTAACATATGACTGACACTGTTTCTCAGGCTGCACTCCTAAGATAGATACCAGAAGACATTTGAGACCTTGTCCGTGACAATTGCCCAAACACACTCGAGGTCTTCATATCTTCAAAATAAGGCTATACAATACATTAATTTGATGAATCTTTGAGTTGTTAACAGTTCAATATACAGTATTCTATTTCAGTTTCAGCTTAATTAATGATAGCTAATAATACATGTGAGTTTTTGCTTTGTATTGCATAATCCCATTAGTTGTTTATTCCTTTATATAAATGTTCCAAGTACAGTATCTAGCAATGAAGTGATGTTGATTAGCACTACAACTAGAGTTTCTTAGGTGTTATAACTAGAACAAGAAAATGTAGCCTGGGAACTGATTCTAAGATAACAATTGAGACTAATTTGATTAGTTTGTAGGTCCTCTAAATTTAAACCCAATTTTTTTTTGTACTTGACTTTCATTGCATGTTAGTGAAAGCAAGGGGCGATTAATAAGAAAGGCATCAGTTTTACTAGGAAATGGAGGGGGGTAGTGGATTCTTACATATCTAGCATGGTTCAAATGTGGAGTACAGTTCAAGATACCAGTGAAACATATACTGTTGTGTATACTGTATAGTTATCACTAGTAGCATTGTTAGGGTAAATAGGGGTGCAACTGATTCCTGTGTTACTTGCAATGCACTGGGTATGTGTGCTGCCCTTCTTAAAGGGATCAACTGTCTGCCAACTTGAAAGCAGATGAACTGTTAGTTGTAGGTAGCCTGTAAATAATAATGAGTACCGAGCAATGTAAAACACCACTACATTGATATCCAGTTATAACTTTTGCTTCATTGGTCATAAGAGCACCATTATACTGTAGTTTGTTTTTAACATCTTGAATAAATTTTTTGTCTTTTAGCTTTTCATGAAACTGTATAACCTGTTTGAAGTAGTACTGTTGTTAAATTGTAATATGACAGTCATTTTTAGTGTTGGTTAAACTAGATTTGACAAGTTTAGTACAGTTACTATATAGGTACATAAGTGTAACCCATTTAGTGTAGGGAGTACGATATGTGTTTTGTGTGCACCCATCAGTGTTGATTTGTGTACAAGTCACCTGTATATCAGTGTTCAACTATAAGTATGGGGGGATTACTATCATGTGGACTAATAGTGAAAAATTTAATGATGTATTACTGTGTAGGCACATGCATACAGTATTATTACATGTATGAACATACTTGTGATGGCAGTTTAGAGTTTATGTAGGTAAGTGGAGCCATAGGCGTGAATTGTGTAAAAGTGAGTAATGTACAATGGTGTAGAACCACAGATATGGATGTTTACAGCAATATCAGATTGGTATATAGCACATACTTTACCTGACAGGCAGGAAGTGTACAGACCCCTCATATGTAGATTGTTTACAGGAAAAAGATATTTTGTATTAACATATGTTGACTTCGACTAACAAAAGGTTGAATTTATAATTAAAATATGTCGCTAGTTTGCCATTTTTTTTATATCATTGATAATATGTCAATATCGATGACAGATGGACAATTTAAATTATTAATCAAACCTCTTGTTAGTATCAAAATATGTTAGTCAGTATACAATAATATATTTCCTTCGTGTAAACTCTACATATGAGGGGCCTCAGCACTTCCTGCCTATGGCTCTGCTTACAAACAAACTCTTAACCTGAAGTTTTTTTTTATTTCAAATGACATTAATAAAAATAATATTGTAATACAGTTTTCCTTTATTTTGCTAAAAAGTGGATATATCTTCATCAGATGGTCCTAGGAATAGACTCCTCAAAAAGGTGCCTGGTCCAAGTTTTCTCCACGTGAAAGGTGAAGTTTTCAGGGTTATGAGTCGGATAACCTGATACTTTACTAACCAAAACTGATTTACTTGGTGAGAAGAGTCATTTAAGTACAAGTTGGGCAGAAAATCAGGGTGCCCCCTCAATGATTGTGTACATGAGAGATTTTATTTAATGTTTTATAACATATTGATATGTAATTATATTGGCACATACTAAAAAAAAATTCAAATAATTATCCAAAATGTCTTTGTTGGCCATCATTTTTATGACAGGAATGTTACATTTCTTTGAACAAGAGACAAATATATTGGATTACATTAATCAAACATTTTGTTAGTCTTTGTCAATACTGTATAGTACAGTATTTAAATTTCATTATGCAACAAAAATCTTTGAGAGGGTACCCAGAATTTATGCCCAACTTTTACAACAAATAATTTGTGGATGTGCATGAAGCAGTATGACGAATGGGTATTTCTGATAAGCTGTTGAGCAGCATAAAACCTACACAGTGGTAGAAGTACAGCAGACATTTACATCATCTTGGCACTTCCCGTTATCACACCATTTCATCTTTATGAATCACTGCATATATTCACCCACTGTATACTCATGGGGCCATTTCTGAAAGGTACACAGTGTTTTTAATCATGCATTACTTATATACATACAAAAAGATGTGTGTCAAGACTGAATGTCACACTTAAATAAAAAATGTATTGGAAATGTATGTACTGGAACCCTGGACATTAAAAATTGAGTGTATCCAAAAGAAAAATATACAGTTCATGTATCCTACCTTTCGGAGCTTCAGTGATAATATTGTCTTAAAGAGATTATTTTTTTGTAATTTTGTATTGTAAGACAGGAAGTCAAATCTGCTTCACCATGCTAATATATCTGGCAGAGAGAGACATGTTACTCTTGCAATAATTATGCATCTAAATGCGAAATGTTTCGCACCATAATTGAAATTGCTGTTGCAAATACATACTCTTATGATCCACAAGTTGTTTATATTCTACCTTTTTTTTTTAAATCAAACTACTGTATGTGGAATAAAGTTCACTTTCTTAACAGCTGATGAGACTGAAAGGTAAATTTTGGAATTGTAGAGACAGTTAAAGCCTGCCACCAATCTAAGGAGACATGTATTTACGTACCTGTCAATTCTACAAGGTGCAGGTCAAGATAACTCCAATAAAACTAATGCTAAATACAGATTGTAAACACAATTCAGCTCTCACAAAGAGGAACTATCAAAAGAATAGCTTACTTAAAGCAAGGAAACAGCTGGATAAGGGCTTTTAACACAAGAAATCATATTAAACTTTTATGGACAGTAGTGATATCCCCATTACCTGGAATAATTGGTGAAGGGCTGTTCCAGGAATAAGAGATTTCTGGGTATGGGGACAAATTTTCTCTTCCCAGAAACATTGCTGTAGTAGTGATATCTCCGTTAGCCGTAACAATCGGTGCAGAGCACTCCCGGAATGAGAGATTTCTGGGTAACGAGACGACTCTTTCAAAGCTGGAAAAAATCCCCCATCCCTGGAATTTTCCGGGTAACAGAAAAATTTTCTCGGAAGTTCTAGAAATTGCCAATTACCCAGTACTTCATCTCTTGAGCCCAGAAAATATCCCTCATCCCCGGATTTTTCCGGGTAATGGAAAATTTTTCTTGGAATTTACAGATTATGTGCCTGATTTTCATCTCAAACCCTGAGAAAACTCCCCCCATCCCCAGAATTTAACGGTACCGGTAAAATTTTCTCTGAAAATGTGTCCCTCGGAAAATCCTTCCCAAAGCCGGAAAATTCCGGCGAACAGCTCTGTGATTGGTTGTGATGTCACTCGTTGGGGCGAACTTCCCAGCGGGAGGCAGCCAGCTGTAGTTGTGCAACCTTCTCGGCTGATCGGCTCGGTAAATAAATATTATTAGATAATTAATTGTGCTTTATTGTGCAACACAGTAATACTTTTTTTAATATACAGGTATAAATATTACTAAGCACATTAACTAATTCAATGGATATTAGCTGCCCATACAACAAATTTCATAGTATAAACATTCCAAACAATACACCTTTTCACATATCCGTTGAGACATTGTTACATAACTATTTGACAAATTTCATAACCGAATGACAGAACACATATCGAATGACAATCTAAACTAACTGTTGGTTCATGCTAACGGAAGTGATTGACATAAGTTATGAAGTTGACAGACGTGAACAATAAACCGACAGTCTACATATAGTTTGAGAATGTAACAATTGGAGGACATACCACCAACAGTTATTTTAGATTGCCATTCGATATGTGTTCTGTCATTCAGTTATGAAATTTGTCAAATAGTTATGTAACAATGTCTCAACGGATATGTGAAAAGGTGTATTTATATTATTTTGGTTTTGGTCATCTGGGGAACCTTAAGATTCTAACTATGGGATTAAGTACTCTAAACAATAAGACACATTACCTCTACAGGATTTCTGTCGCAAAATTTTTTTCGATCGCACAAGAAAATACAGATCATAGGTTAGGTTAGGTTAGCTTAACATACATCGGTAATTGGGGGGTAATAACTCAAAACTAGTGATTTCTGATAGTAATGAAGGTCAAATTCATTCATAACACATCACAAACCATCAGAAAAAACATAGTCTGCATGTCTAAGTACAGGGATGACCAAATCTTAAAATTTACCCAATATACCCTATCTCGAATCTAAACATCAAAACACTTATGGTAGTTATAGTAAAATTTTACCCATTAATTAATATAAATGATAATATATCCCAGTGAATCATCAAAACAATAACAGCACTATGTTGGCGTGTTTACCTAGCATCAGGCATTATCACAACAAAATCCAGACAATGACTTCACTTCTAAATTTACTCGTATCTCCATCTACTACGGATATACTCAGTAAATGCACTGAAAAAAAAAACTTGAAACTTACCTGAACGTGGCATTTGGGGTCTGAAGAGGCCATCCTTTTTACTACCTCCGACTGCAGCGATGAGTTTGAACTAGTGACGTCATTGAATATGGCGGTCCTGTTATCTCGACTATTATAGCAGGACTTTAAACTTTTATTACAAATTATATGTACTGTATCACTCTACGAACGTGGCAGAGTGTATTTCTTGTGTTTGCCCAGAACCGTCAACTCGTCCATTACTCAAATATGATTACAACTTTAATATCATTACTCATAAAATACTTTAAATAAGGGTGAACAAGTTGATTACAGTTCTGTAAGTACAAAAATTAAGACATAAACGAGCTTGAAATTCGTCGTATTTCATGTCAAAATATGCAAACACCTAGCGGCTTTTTGCGTTATTCTTATTTATTGTTGACTAATTGATTTTTTTTTCCTTTTTTGTCTTTCCATAATTTTCTATATACATTCTTCACTATTTCTTTCCGTATTGTGTCCAAATAACAGTTCTCCTAATTTTATTGTTTTCTGAAGACTGTGTTGTACAGCAGTTATTCCCAAGACGTGGTACAATGTCGTATTTTTTAATAATAGTCCGGAAAAGCTAACGCGTTAGCTATTCCGTTCATCTTAAAACGCCTTACAATAAACGCCTTTGGTATCTACAGTATATTAGTTGGTCTCCTCAATGACGAAATGGCGTCACTGTCGCCAATGTGACGTAGGTGTATCGTCTGCAGTGTTTCCTTCTTTGTATGTTTCTAACTGCCAGTTAACTAATGACCTATATTGTAGTTGCCTTTGACAGGCTACTATTTTAATAGTGATATAAACAACGTCACGGTATTTACAAAGTGATGACAGAGTTGGCACTAACACCACTTTTTCGCATCTTATATTGTGCTCACTAGTTTATTGATGACCAACGTAAAAAAAAATACAGTACACCACAGTTTCAAAACTACACACCTACCAATGTATTGCTGGAAATATACGACTAGGTTTTAAGATTAGGTTCCTACAGTAGAAAAAGTTTGACAAGGAACCGTCAGTGCGAGAAGGTATCACCCGTCCAGGAAAACCATGAACAAATCTCAAGACCGCTGGAGGCTGGTGATGGACACGTTGGGTAGACGAGCAGATGCAGAGCTATACCCGTGTCGTGGTGTGTGGAGAGGCCCTCTTGGTGTGGTGCTAGTGATCCAACCATCACATTTTAGTCTTAATTGAGAAATGTGTTTATTGTGAGGGCAAAAAACTGTATTGTGGATACTATATTTATATAGTGGTAAATTGTGTCTGTGGTGTTAATCACGTTTACAGTAGTGCCCTTTGACGATAGAAACAGCTAACGAGTCGATCAGTGGCGAAGAGGATAAAAAGTAAAAAGGATGCTATGTGAATTCACTTAAACGTCTTTAGTATATTATTTTATCGTATGTTCAAGACGTTATTTTTTTCAATAACTAGTCCCCAGACGGTTTATTTTCACAGGTATATCAACAAATGTAAATCGCTCGATACGTTAATTAAAGGGACGTGTCCCTTCATTATGGGTCTGGATAGGTGATGCCTAGACTTGTATTGTCGTCACAAGCTACAGGTTCTTAAATATTAATTAAAACGATGGCCTTCCATTATTACTTTATGATAAGAGTATGAAAGAAGACTGCCTTCATTCAAAATATAAAGTTTAAAATATCAACACGATCAGCTGATACACTACAGTTCTAGAGTGACATTGCATTATCATGAAAATGATACACTGTCGGGTACGCCACCGGCCCAGGACCTCGACCATAAGTGTGGTGATGTGTTTAGTGATGTGGGCGGTACTGGGGCTGGTACAGGAGCAGCAGAAGGCGGTGATGTCACAGGAAAGTTACCTGCAAGTTGCGTGGCATAACTCTATGGACACTAAGCTCCCCCTCCCGGAGACTAATCCCGAGGTCATCCACCCTGACATACAGGTAAGATCACCACCGGCTGTTTTGCTGTTATAAAACACCATGACGATGACAACACCTCAGTTTTGTGGCTGGAAATGACCTAAATACATCACACTGAAAAATTAAAATTTGAAGCAAAATAACCTAGTTGCAACTCCTCAACTTCTCAGTTCTTAACAGTAACATTTCTACAGCACTCTTCCCTCATGTGTTTTTTCTTGTTGTTTCCCCCTCTGTGTCTCTGTCTCCCAACACTTCTCATGTTACAGGACGACACGGAGTATCCGGAATGGAGTCCCAGGCGACTCCAGCAGCTGCTGGAGTCGCCCACCACCTTCTGCAGACGGTTAACCAATCTTGGGGGAAAAATCCGGTGTAAAGACTGCCACACCTGTGTCATCGACGGCAACAAGTACATCTGCTTCGACCCTGACGTGAGGTGAGGAGTGACCAGGGGACTACGCGATGCCCTCGTGCTGCAGCTGAGCAATGGCCACTAGTGAAGTACATTTTGTTTTGTTTACCAAGGCCCTGTGCGGTTCAGACGTATCGTGTCATAAAAATAAGCGACGTAAAGAAGCATTTATTACCCTAGGCCAAGAATATGGAAAATTTATTTTTACCCTAAACATTTGAGTAAACAACGGCGTATCCTAGCTTACAGTTTAGTTAGGTTAAGTTCAGTGCATATAAATAATGACACTCCTTAGCCTCTCACAATCACCTTTGACATTCCCGAGTTTCTCCAGACCAGTGCCAGGGAACTGTTTGGTGTACTCCTTCGGCGTAGGGAATGAGATGTCATTTGACTCAGCCATGCTCCACCTCAACTGCTCCATCTTCGCCTTCGACATGACTCTCATGAACTCCAGCAACTCAATGATTGCCGAAGGCCTTCATTTCCTTGATCTCGGTATCGCCAGCATTAACTCTGACGTTAGTAATTCATCAAATTTATATTAAATATCTCATTCTACTATGTATATATTAATTCACCTGTAGTGAATTATCTTGCACTGTCTCGGCACACAGGAAACCTTCATTCTCGTCTATATACATGCTGGACTTTGTAACTGCATAGTTTATAGACATGCTTATCCAATTGTAAACCCGTATAACAACTTTACTGAATAGATATCCTTATTCTTCTTATTATTATTATTAATGACTCCTTGGCATAACAGGACACCGTGAACATGACTGCAGCAGGCGGCGATAAAACACAGTGGGAATCAAGAAACGCTCACTTCAGGACGCTGGAGGTCATCAGGGACATTCTGGGCCACAAAAACCGACCCATAGACATCCTGAAGCTAGACATCGAGAATATGGAGTGGAAGGTGTTGGGGGACATACTCAGTACCCCAGAGAAGTCACGGGTCATACAGGACGTGAGACAAATTGCCCTCGAGGTGAGTATTAGATTAGGTTAGGTTAGGTCTTCTTCGATGCTTGAGGGGTAATGGATCCTCACATACAATATATGATTCCCTGATCAGATCCACCTAGACGGGTTAAGGAACTCAACAGCGTGGGAACGTGTGGTGGCTGCCAGGGAGATGGAGGATGTTCTGGAGCGCCTTCACTCACACGGCTTCCATCTGGTTCACACAGAGCTTAATACTGCCCATCAGGTACTGTTTTAACACATCATAGACTGTATCAACACACTATGGACTGTATCAACACACTATGGACTGTGTCAACACACCATAGACTGTATCAACACACTATTGACTGTATCAACGCACTACAGACTGTATCAACACACCATAGACTGTATCAACACACCATAGACTGTATCAACACACTATGGACTGTATCAACACACTATGGACTGTATCAACGCCCAAGCGGCTAACGAGCCGATCAGTGGTGAAGAGGACAAAAGAAAAAAAAGACTGTTCCAACACACTATCGACTGTATCAACACACCATAGACTATAATTATCAACACAAGAGACACTGTACCAACACACCATACAGTAATATAAACTAAACTACCAGTATTTGTGAATAATTTGTGGATACCTTTACTGAAAAACTTATGAAGTGTAAAAGACAAGTGTTTTGACCCTGCAGGTGTACGCAGAGGTGCGAGGACAAGTGTTGCCGCTTTACCGGGAGTCCCTCTTCATTCGTCGACCATGACTCCCTAGCAAATACTCCTGCTGCTGTGCCCGTCTCCTTGTCGACTGTAACTACTACCAATACCGCTCACCGCCTCCCGCCTCTACCGTGTACATAACTGATAATGCATTTTACAAAAAGTGAATTTTGTTTCTTTATCAATAAAATGCTATAATATAAGTTGGGTGAACAAGGAATGAATGTGAATTGGGATTTTTTTTTTCCTATAATTGTCGAGTTAAGCATAACATCTCGAAAGGGAAAATTCAATGTCATATCACTTATTATATTTAAGGACAGAAAAGACATATAGAGGGAAGTAATGAGAGAAAGGAGAGCTTAAGGTAGTACAGTACTCTGATTTTACGCCTGTCCAGTTTTATACATCACTCCTCTATTTACTCTTATTGTTGGTATCATACCTTCTATACACTGATCATAATACAGGTATCTATTGCACCCAAAAGTCTTTATTATTTCTTATATCATGATACGAGTCTGAAAACTTGTGTCATCATCTTAGACAGATGGCGATTTAAATTACGTCAGAGCTTCATTAATGGGCGTTTGTAAGGTTGTGATGCATATATTAGTTTATAATTATTAAGGGAGTGAAATAATGCAATGGATAGAAAGAAATAAGAGTACGGAAGGAGGGATGAATCAGATAAGATCCTTGGAATAACGCTAAACTTCTTGTACGCTCAGCCAAGTTAAGCAACATTGGGTCTGGTTAGTACTTGGATGAGTGACCGCCTGGCACAAAGAACAGCAGATGCTGCTGGCATAAGGACTCTACTGGAACCTCTGATGTCTCATGGCTTTATCAGCGGTCTTTTGGTCATTTTAAATGAACAGTTAGAAAGAGGCGCGCCAGAAGTAGTTGTGGTGTCGGCCGCGTAGGGGCGGTCAGGTTGCGCAGATCAATAGCTTACTAGACAAGGTTGGGAAGGAGAACACCGATAGAGCGATATTTCCAGTATTTTGTGGATTTGGAACGGTGTTTTATGTCGATATTGTTAATTCCTTAGGATCTACCCATTTTTAAGGAAAATACTAAGGTAAGTATCCATACGTTAGTGAGATAAAAGGTGCCACTTTGATCGTCTGGATTTGTGATGTCAGAATTTTTGGAAAATATTTGTCCAGCAATTTTGATGTGTAGTACTACAACCACCGTGCACTGGAGACCTTGAGGTAAGTTAAATGAAATGCTGCTACTTACAAAAGGTTACCTGTTTTTTCTTGACATGTAATACTACCAAGATTAGTAATATTTTCAAAGGACGAAAAACCAGACAATGTAAAAGGGTTATTACGAGTAACAAGGTATTTTGTACACCGTTCTGGAGTATATCAGTACGAGAATATTTTATCAAGGATATAAACCTGTGAGTTAACTTGCAGCATCTGAGTATATAAATAATTTAGATTCAATTTACATACAAATGTTTCTCTTCGTGGACTACCCCCTCACGCATGCAAAGACAGTGACATATCTAGAATGCTGTGGGGCGTTTACTGTCCTGGAATAAGCTTAACGCCGTTGATACAAAAAATAATAATCGTAATTGCGATATCGAGAAGACTAGACATGTATGACAAAAATTTTCATTGGTTTGTGGATATCAGCGTGAACAATTTCTGTCATCTTGGAGGTGTCGAGGCTGGTGGTGGCCACCCATGGGATTTATCAATAGTGTAATGAGATCTGGAGAGACATTGAGTGCGTCTTCCCATGAACAGAAATCACCCCTACTGATACTGTCTATCGATTAAGAAATTAATTAATATGCTCCTCATGAACAGTGACAAGTTTGCCTCTGGATGCTTGAGAGAAAATAAATTATTAAAAATATGGATAATTAATTCCCGAGAAAGATGCACTTGTCTGGTATTGGACGTCTGGGGGATAATGTGCTGTCCTGTATGTGTAAAAATATTGACGTTATTACATTGCAAGGAGGGGGGGGGGGGTAGATGGACCACACAACATAACAATAGGATTCGAGTCAACAAAATGTATTAATCTAGGAATAAAAGGACAGTGAAAAGACTTTAGGGGTTATCAAAAGAACTGTGCACAAAAGTTGACGAAATGAAAGAGAGCTGAAGTCATTCAGATGAATCAATAATGACGAACGAGAAATGTTAGGTATTCTGATTCACTTTGTGCCATTCACTAGAAGTTAAATGGTCATTTAAGTCTTTATATTGTCCTTATTTTGTTATTTTTCCATTATATGAAACTTGGAGCATAAGTGACATCCCATTTTAATCGGGAATTGCACCTGAGTGGGAGGCAAGTAGGTACTTAGAGGAAGTTCAACAAGTTTTTGAATGATACAATTTCGTACATGGTGTTAATACAAAATATACGTATAACTTTTCTTGAATAGGAGTTAGTCTGAGTAAATATGACATTAATGAAATATAAACATCCAATTCAGAATTCATTCGAAGCTACAGTATTTCCGACAAGGAGAAACTTTTAGTGTGTGTGTGTGTGATGTTACATAATTCATCAGCATCGCGTAAGATTTTTAGACAAAGATGATGAAACAAGCCTGGTCAGATCAACTGGTGTTTGATGCTGTACTTCACCCCCCCGCCCCGTGTGTACAGCCAAACTAGGTCATGATATGATGAGTTGATGTGTTTACTACCACAAAATTATTGATTAGGTCGGGGGGCGGCGGCACTACAAGTATGTGGAATTTATTGTTTCAGGGGGCTGTATGGATTTTGCATTTATTAATATTTTACAATGTAGCATTTCTCTTTTATATATATATACCAGACATCAACAAATAAAAATACGCTCAAGAACATGATGGAATTTCCAGAGTGGACAAAGGGTTTAATTCTCATGTTTATAATTCTTGCGTTTCCATCGTGGATGCATTTTTTTAAGTAAAAGTGTTTACAGTTTACGTTATCTTATTAATTATTGTTGGCAAATCAAGCAAACTTTAAAAAAATCAAATACATTATCAACCAATTTGATGCAACACGAAGTAATTGTTTCTACTGTCAAAACAAAGTACTATACTCTATTACCACGGTATACAAGTTGTTTAACCCTAACAAAACGAGTGAGTGTATGTGTGTGTATATGTGCGTTCTTGCGTGTTAATGTATGATTGATTAACCAATTCCGGCGGTAAGAATCAACCGTCATAAGCGAGGTATGAGAAAATTTGCAGACACAACACATTCACCTTCGTTACCTCGACCTCAAATTTTTTCCGTTTTCGAGTAAGACTAACCCACGCATACATACATACAAACACCTAAAAACAATACTCCCTCGCCTAGGTTAAACACTTTCAGTCAGATCAAGATAGACAAGTGCGTAATTCACAGTCTTGTTGTATATGTCGGTTTTTTTTATAATTACTGAAAGTGGCTTAACGTTAGGGAGGTTATTTTACATCTTTCTGACTGTACTTATAAAAGCCCAAGTAACTGATGTTGGTTTTATGATGTAATTCAAATGTGGAAACGTTTTGTGTGTGTGTGTGTGTGTGTGTGGTGTCGTAGAATCGCGTCCCAGTATGATTTATGATTGTATTTGTGCATTTATACGTTATTGTATGTATGTGTGTATACTGAACCTACGCACGTGTTTTCATGTGTAAATACGCGCGTGTGTGTGTGTGTGAGTAAAGACTTGTTTATTGTGTGCGTGTGTATTTGTAAGAGGATAAACAGTCAATGTTCTGTTACAGGAGCTGCGGTTGGAGGATGTGGGCGTGGTGTGTGTGGGCGTGGTGCGTGGCGGGCGTGGTGACGTGGGCCGCCGCCACGCCTACCTGGCAGTCGTGTAAGGCTGAGTGTGACAACCATTTCACCAAGAACGACCTCCTGCAGGTGGGTGATCCTCCCCAGCAGCAGTTCCTCGACGGTGTTGGACGCTTTGTTTGGGTCCCACTCACACACTCACTCACTCACCCACACACTATCTCACTCACACATCCACACACACACACTCACTCACTCACTCACACACCCACACACACACTCACTCACTCACCCATGGAGGTATCCCTTTATACCTCCATGCACTCACTCACTCACTCACACACTCACGCACTTAACTCATACTGTAACTGAAACAGCATACACTTGTAACTAAACCACTCACACTTACTCATTTATTTACCATAACACAGAGCAGTACATTAAGAGTGTTTACATAATCCAACAGATGAGGTTTGGTGGAGGAATAAGATTCATGTTGTTTTACAGTCCGCGTTATCCCGGATGTGTGAACGCGGGTGTGACCTGTATACCGTGGCACTCATCTCTACGCCCCAGAGAACCCGGGTACTACATCTGGGTCCCGTCATCCTGCCCGCTAAGAACCCACAACCACCCCGCACCCCGCCCCATGACCTAGTGGTGAGGGTTGAGAAAAAGAACCCGGCAGAGCAGCAGCAGGTGGGGAAGCATCACCATCATCACACTCCACGGGTGCTGCCACTTGCTCAGACAAGGTCTCCTCATCACAAGACCCGCCAGACTACCACTCAGCCCGCAGACCATCCAGTCCAGGACCACCCGGCCCAGGCAGACCATCAAGCCACCACCACCCATCCAGGCCAGGGTCAGGCCACCCAAGCTGCCCACCAGGCCACCACCACTCATACACCTAATGCCCGCCCACCCACTACCACCTCTACAGCCCAGGCGGCCTCCGCAGGTAAACTAGAGAGCCATGAAACCAACGCCATCATCATCATGGGGAAGGACAACCTGCACCAGAATACTAACCATGCCGAGGGACACAAACAGTTGAGTCCTGGGGAGTTCCAGGACGCGAGGGTCAGGGAGGACACAGAGCGCATGCAGCAGGCCAAGGACTCCTGCAGGCATGGTGAGTCACTCAGGGTCTGGAGGTACAGATAATGTTGTACTGTTTTTAGTTGAATAATAGTCATGTTATAATAAGTAATAATCACTAACGGAAATAAAGAGCAACAGAGACCGGCAGGACATTGTCGAGTCTCGGCTCAATGTGTAAGGTAAGGTGAGTAGTTGAGGCGGCGGCCTAACTTTGTTGTGTTACAGCCTGCGTGACGGCTTACCACCTGACGGAGGAGCAGAAGGCCTGTGTGGTGGGTTGCCACTACCAGGCCATCACCACTGCCACCCTGCCATCACGGGTCAGGATGCCAGACGCTGGCAGGAACCCATTGGCCATGTTCCAACACGTCATGTTTAGTTTAGCGGGCCACATGGGCCGGTTGGTTCGAGTCACTTGGGCATGGACCACCGGTGGCCAAGGAGACGCCCCCCAACAGGAGAGGCACGAGAAGATACAAGGTGGGTGTCTTGGCCTTCATAAATGTAGCAATTATTCAGGCCAGACGCTGACCAAAGTTTATTCAACATAATTCCCATTTGTCTTATCTCTTATAACACAGTGAAACGTTATCCCTACTGTCTCCATTATATAAAGTACAATGGTATATTTCTATGCCAGTGTTTGACATACATACTGTGCTAATATAACGTTGCCCATTAATGAATATACTGTATGTATATGAATATTATATTTGTTTGACGTAGATGTTGATACTGAATAATGTTATTGCTGTGTGTGTTATTGTTGTATCATTGTTACTATATATATATATATATATATATATATATATATATATATATATATATATATATATATATATATATATATATATATATATATATATATATATTTCTTTAGATGATATATATATATACCAAGTACGCCTCTGTGACTGACCTTGGTGTTGTCTTATGTAACACTGTATCATATCCGTGTGGTTGATAGAAGCTGCCCCTCATATAACGTTGCCAAATGGCGTCTCATCAGTACACAGCAGCGAGCACAAGTTCCGGGGTGGACGCGTGTATTATTCCGAACTCCTGGGACACTACACCATCGGCAACAAGTAAGTTCCATAACTAATTTAACAAGAAAATTATTATTGACAGGTGAAGAAAAAAATAATGATTTTCTGTTGCATCAAACAATAAATACAAAAAGTCACTGGTATTTAAATTGTCAATAGGGCGTTCGGAGGCACTTTAAACCACCAGTAAATCACCTAGGATTTGTAATAGTTGGTATGGAAACCAAAGTGGGCGAGGTTTAGTCGAGAGGGTAAATTATACTCTGTGAAAAGCCTGAGAGAGAGAGAGAGAGAGAGAGAGAGAGAGAGAGAGAGAGAGAACAATTGACAGGATCACAGGATAAAAACTTTTCATGTGTATATGTTTTACCAGCGATGACGTCCCACTACCTGATCCTAACATCGTCCATCACCACGACCACGAATGTCGCCACCGCCACGCACAGCAACCACAGCAAACCCAACAACAGCATCCTCAGCACAACCAACAACAACAACAACAACAACAGAACCAGAACCAACAACAACAACAACAACAACAACAGCAGCAGCAGCAGCAACTTGATCTACTAGAATGTATCTCACGGAAATCTGGTCTGCCAAGGTGGTTCATTGCTGTCACCATCTTCACCTCAGCGTTGGTGATCCTGTGGTTGTGTTTCACCCTCACAGCCCCACCAGATGACATCAAGGTCGTCAAGACTAAGGTGAGTTACGTGTGTGTGTGTGCGTGTGTGTGTGTGTGTGTGTGTGTGTGTGTGTGTGTTTGTGTGTGTGTGTGTGCGTGTGTGTGTGTATGTTCGATATATTGCAATTATTCCTGACTTTAATGTGTAATTTGAGTGGATATATTAAATGGTATTCATCGTAGCTATATACGTCAGGTTTCCATGCAACACAGTGTTTCCTCGACCTAACCTAACCTAACCTGCTGGTGATGAGTGTTGGAGTAATAGAGTTGTGGTAATCCTCAGCCTCCAGAGCTAGAGATGGAGGAGGACGAGGAGGACTATGATGACGATGACCTCCCGTGTTCAGAGAAGAAGAAGCTCCTGGCTCAGGCCGATGACGTTATCAAGATCAGGATTGAGAACGTGTAGGAGTTTTCTACCCAAGATGCTCATCCTGCGTCCTTCACCATCTCCTCCAGGTGCAGAAGGAACCTACAGGCAGTACTAAATCTACATACTGTAATTTAGTGCGCGAGTGTGTGCTGTCATGAGCTAATATAACAATGTATGTTTTTGAGGACAGACAGACAGACCGACAAAAATAATTATACCCGGAAATTAAAAATGGCCGTGTATACTTTGGTGATGAAAATGGGATAAAATTTTAGAAAACTTTCGTAAAAAAAAATTATGATGGAATCTTTCTAGCCATAGTTACAATAGAGAGCATTCATAAACACTTTCTTTAAGAGCCACTCGATGGCTCATGTATTTCTGGCTCTTCAAGTCAACACGCCTCATATTAATACTAGATGTATCATTCAAAAGGAAAATATTGCTTTGATTATTAAACATGAGAAATGAGATTTATATAAAGTTACCAGCATTCAACTCAACCCGGAGAAAACACCATTTTTAATCAATTATTGTGAGTCATAGAGCCATTACAGTGAACTTAATTACGAAGGAATAAGTCATCATGACATACATAAAGTATTCCATGGTATTACTTATTTGTGGAAGACTGTTGTTAATTATTATTATTATACACAGGGGTGACGAGAGACAGTCTATGTTTGGTTTGGTTTACCATCCTGCACCAGCTGTGTGTGTGTGTGTGTGTGTGTGTGTGTGTGTGTGTGTGTGTGTGTCGCCCAAGAGAATCAACTCGACTTAAAGAAGGTTTGTGGGTTTATTAGTCATATGTTATGCGATTCCATCCTGTATGTGGCGTGGTTGATCATTGTCCTTGTGGTGTGGTGACATGGCTAACTGGACACTGTGGTAACATGTCCAGATGCACACTGTGGAAACGTGGCCAGGTGAACACTGTGGAAACGTGGCCAGGAGAACACTGTGGTAACATGGCCAGGTGAACACTGTGGTAACATGGCCAGGTGAACACTGTGGTAACATGGCCAGGTGAACACTGTGGTAACATGGTCAGGTGAACACTGTGGTAACATGGCCAGGTGAACACTGTGGTAACATGGCCAGGTGAACACAGGCGAGGTAAGAAGGGAACCACGACCACAAGACAAGGGTGTGTCAACCAGGCTCTGTGTATAGCTCTAATATTTACTGTGCAAATTTGCTCACTTTAGATTTTCATGGCAGCATAATGTTGGTTGTTTATTAACTTGAAAATACTGGAAAAAAGTCCGTTACTTATTCCTAATTATGCATGAAATGTTTTCGACTCGTGTTTATGAATGTTAGTTTTTGTTTACAGGCGTGAGTGTCCGGGATTGTTCTGGAATTCGCTGACCTCCAATGGCATGTGGAAGACTTAACCTAACTTTTGTCTGTCACTCCCTTGTGCCGCGCCAACAGCTTATAGCGTCATTCCATTAATGTGTTGTTTCATTTTTGTTGATGAGCCAATACTTGTTCTACTCTTTTATATATATTTTCATGTTATACGTACGTAACATTTCGAGGCAGGGTTTTAAATGTACAGTGTGTGTGTGTGTGTGTGTTCTTATGATAAATAATACATTAATATGTCTACAATTGCTGGGGGTAAGTGGTAGGAATGGTGGTGGTGGTGAGGGACAACTTGCCGATCCTGCATCGCCTCATCGCCGGCTTACTCAATGTCCCCCACCCAGCTAGCCATCAACATAAGCTGAGCCAGTAAAAGAAGAATAATCCTTGTGGGCCATCACTCAGACAAGTGGTTGGGAGATGATTCAGTCACTCCCCACCACAACACAGGGAGATCAATAGTGATCATGGTGGTGGTGCTGTTACCAAACTCAGTGAGCGACGGTCACACATTCTTTTGGCAGCGTAAGAAATCAATGTACAATTCCCCCATTCTTTCACTTCACAGGGCAATATATATTGTAAAACTGGGAATATGGATGTTCCGACGCAAAGTTGCCTCTTGTGGCAAATTGTCGCAGGATTCTTAGTCAAGTAATAATGCTGGTATTTTACTCGTTGGCATCCCCGTACAAAAGTCCCCTGCTTTCCAGTCTGTCTGTAGACTGTAGATAAAGCTGTACTGATTTATACCGTGTTATAATTATAAGACTAATCTTCCAGGTTATCACTAATTTATTATGATTTCCAGAAAATTTACATTAGATCAAGTTTAGCTGTCCAGCTTACTAAGAACCATTTCTTGACTTCCGATTAATGTGATAAAATTATGATTTGAGTATAAAGTCTTGTAACGTTGAGTAATAAGTGTAACTGATCGTTTCCATAACTTTCAAAGTTACCAACTATAAACTTAGGATATTCTGAATGTTTTTGCACCTCCCCGCGGGCAGCTGAACGGGACTTTTTTTGCGTGTGTTAATACATTTGGAGACGAGAAAAATTTACAAAGCGCATAACGTCTTCCCGGCGCGGAGTCTTGGAGGCCAATCGACCACATCAAAAATTTTATACCACGATGGAGAAAACAAAGTCTATTAAAGAAATATGATGACGTTTGTTAATGAATATTTAATGTCACACTGTTCTCCACGACTCTGTTGCCGGACAAATTTTGTAATGTATCGAAAGACAACGCACAATACTACTATAAACATTAGCCAAGCGAGTCAAGTTAAATTTTTCCTGTCTCAGATAATGGCTTTAATAACTACGAAGCCAGTGTCTACATTATCGGTGTGTGGGTCCCCGTCTGATGTGCATTATCTATATCTGGTGAGAAAGGTCATTATATAGAATTATCCCAGCATTAACCAGTTAATTTGTTTCTTATATCAGATAATTATAGACTTATTAATGAGCATGTTCAACACTTATAGTCATGTATACAGTAGAGAGGGTAGGGACTGACTGACGTGGTGAAAAGTTTTATGATAAAAGAGTTCAGCTGCCTTAATCTGATTGCACAATGGGTGTTCTGTTGTCTAGAGTTAATCGCTATACAGGCTACTCCTTAAAAAATAGATTTAACTATGTGAAACAGTCATGCATACGGTAGCTTATATATATGTTTGGTTGAATAAACACAAATATTAAAGCCTGTGCGTTTCACTATGACTATCCTTAACAACATTGTCATTGTCGTCATAGCATTTATCATACTAGGCCAGTGCTTCTTACACTGGTGAATTGTTCCCCCTTGGGTGAATGAAACCAGAGGGGTGAATGAAATAGTAAGGGTGAATGAATTAATCTTGATTGAATGATCAAGATTTGTATGATTAAAGGGCTTCCAATTAAGTGCCAGCCAATGTCACAAAATTATAAATAAGAAAGTTTATGCTTATATTATGACAGAAAATGGGCTTGCTTTATACTGAAGTAAAAAAGTAAAAGTGGTAATAGTTAAAATTTGGGGAAATGTACAGTTACGGAAGATAAGTCGGGGGTGAATGAAATTTTGTTATACTGACCTAAGGGTGAATGGTATTAATAAAGTTTAAGAAGCACTGTAGGCTACCAGACGATGCATTATCTTGTAGTGGATTTCTCCCCTACAAACGCTGCTTGTCGCTGCGTAGCCAACCCCACGAATTCCCCAGTGTATGCCTCGTGGTCTGGATCAACCAGCGCCGCCCACGGAGCGGGGGTCAACTACTAAGCCTACCCCCCGCTATTTAAGACCTGACCTCGTGATGATCTCTCTTTCTACCTACACCAACCAGCCAGCAACACCTCCACCTCCTCCGCCTGCCTGGCGGTCCTCGCTCCCGCCGGCGAGCATGGAGACCCACAAGCTGTCCTCCTCTGAGCACCCTCACCAACCAGCTCTCTCTACATCACGCTTGTAATCATGCTGCCTTCCCAGCACCAAGCTGCATTGTACATCCAATACAACATGTATACAGAGAGCACATTGTGAGTTTCCTTTCTCCATCCCATCCTGAGTGCAAACAAACAACCTGTTCCCCAATCTCTCCTCCGAGTTTCTGTGCTACTGATCTACTCCGTATAAATATATGAGAGAGGTTATGATAATAGATTAATATATATTCCAGAGATTGCCGGCACAAATATATAGTTAATGGGCCGTATAGTAGGTCCGTTGTAATACCTTCTTAAGATCTAAGTTAAAACGTTTCATAAACTAGTGAACGTGATTATTAAACTAGATAATATTAAACAAAAATGATAAATATATTAAATATTAAACATGTTATTTATTTATTTCCATCCAGGAGATATCATTACACATTTTCCCCAACACCATCTCGACTTAAGAGGATAAACATATCTTGACGTATGCGGTACATTGGTAGACCTAACCTTCCTAATAGTTGTTCCATGATGTATGTAAACAGAGGTCAGACGAAGCCATGAGTTTAATTCTTTTCATAATGGAAACCAGGGTCAGTCAGATGGATTCTTTAGCAAAATCCTCCATCGCTAAGTTCTGTTGGTTTATTGTAGGTTCGAACTCTACAATGTAATTTCGATCTTTACTGCAATGGCCATACGAGGAGGTTCTGGGTTCGAGGTCTTGAAGTGTTAGGGACCTGCCTGAGCTTTTTCATGGATCCGAAACCTTGACGGTAAGGCTTAAACCTTCATTTTAAAACGTCCAGAATGTAGAGCGTTGATGCAGAGGCCAGAGCCAGGCGTGTTCCTTGATGTCCCCGACCCAGTAAAGCATCCAGAGCCCAGACTGTGTTGCGGACCCCACGCAGTACGCCCACCGTCTGAGAATTAGTTCACCATCAGGGGGATTACGTATGTCAAGGGAAAGTATCGTTGCCTAAAATAGAATTACTGGGAGTTCAAGGAAAGTATTTACAAGAAATTACTAAGCTATCATGGAAAGTACCATCAGTGAATAAAAATACTATACTGAACGACTGCATGAGGAAAGTACCAGCAGTGAAAAAAGTATAAATATTGAATACTGCAAGACATAAGTGGAGGCTAGGTGATAGTAATGATTAAATAAGATAAAGTACTCCCCTCCCTCCTCTCTCTTACCGTATTATCCAAGGTAGTGAGTCGGAGTAGGTTGGGGTCGGCGCCACCCACCGCCACCACCTCCTTCCCCGCCCACACTGTGCTGTACACCTGTGGACACCCGTACATGTCATCCAAGCTCCTTCTCTCTTTTCCCATTGTTTATATTCTTATTTACTCTGACTCCATAATGTTATGATATTATGATTTTCAGTTAATTTAATGTATAAATTATATCGAATAACCGCTGGTGAAATGCATATACTACACCTCCACATATTTGTATTTTAGAGAAGCAAATACTAGTTAGCTACAGCTATATTTTGATGGGGGTACACACACGTCAAGGTATATACACTCACGGAAGTGTTCACAGCGTCCGAGTGGAGGAGATGAGTGAGTCTGCCCGTTGACGCCTCCCACACCTTGACACTGTCAGCTCCACCTCCCCAGCTGCCCGACACCACCTGTCAACACACTCTCTTCACTACTAAGTAATAGACAAGTCGACAATAAATGGCAAATATAATACTAATAATGCCTAAGATAATTGCAGAAAAAGCGTATGTATATTTTGTACACATATTTGAGTTAAAAGCATAAACGACCAGAAAAGGAACACATATTGAAGAGAAAATATTTTGCTAATGAATGGGACACTTATATAAAATAGAAATACGTAAACGTCATGAAGGAAAAATGAATATACAATAATGGGATGGACATATATTGAATAAAAAAACACCCCAGTATTTAATAATATGTCTATATATTCATTAATTGAGAAATGTACATTTTTTCGGTGATAAGAGATTAAAATAGTAATGCTTTGAACATGTAGGAACCCGTCATCTCTCTCATACACACACTCACTCATCGATGACTGTCCATACAGAATAACTCCATCTTTTTGCTTTTCTATTCATCTATTTATAATCTGTATTTTCTTTTCTTGCTATCAATTTACCTACATATTTATCGATATACATTAAATTTTTCTCTCTCTCACCCTGTTTGAATGTGGGTGCCAAGCTAAGGCTGGCCCGCGCACCGGAACACCACTTATACTACGGGTGACGCTACCAGTGCGGGCGTCCCACCACGTCAAGCCGCCTCCCCCGCCAACTAGTTCACGCCCACGTCCACTCACCGCCCACAGCGACCCACGGGATAATAGATGACCACCCACGCTGTAATGTAAGCGGACGTTAATTATACCTCATTCTACTAATAAACATAATAGTATTTTACATTAAGCAGCGTTTTGTTGTATCGTAATTTACAGTGTTGTATTGTCTTATATTTTAATGAATTGTAGCACCATGAAGTGTTGTGGTGTAGTACTGTACTGTTATGATTGAGATATTAACCCTTGGTCCATAGTAGCAACGGGGCCCAGGGTATTGGCGTCTCTTACTGTGACCTGACCCCTAGTAAATGTCACTACCTGATTGTCTAGGCCCCCTACCACCGCCGCCCGCACGTCTACACCACCTTCAGCCTGCACCACACCCACGCTACGCCCACGCCACGTCACCAAACGTCCGTCAGAATCTGGGGTAAAGAATTACAAAGTGAAGAGCATTTATATTTCCGGGTATAAATGTGTTTAACATGGATATTAACTTATTTTGAAACACCAAAGATTAAATTGTTGATATTATTAAAAACTTACACACACAAACACACACACACACACATACATACATAAAAATGGTTGCCCCTCGTGTAACGAGGAGCTGCCATGCACAGGCCAACCGGCCTATTGCAGACTCCTTAATTTCTTACGTTCTTATGTTGTTCTTATACATACATACACACACACAGGTACTAACAGGTGGTGAGGAGAGCTTCGGACTGGTCCCCAGGCAGCCAGAGGAGGGAGGTAGCTGGGGCCGTCACCCGGGTCGTCTTGACCAGCTCACCCGGTAACTGTTAACGACATCGAGATAAAATAAAAATAAAAACCTCATAGACGTAACAAGTAAAGCTTTAAGTAAACAGCATAGGCTTAGGTTAGGTTGGGTTGTTAGCTTAGGTTGGGCTGTTAGGTTAGGTTGGGTTTGGTTTGGTTAAGTTAGGTTGGGTTGTTAGGTTAGGTTTGGTTTGGTTGGTTTGTTGGATTAGATTGTGTTGTTAGATTAGTTTGGGTCGTTAGATTAGGTTAGGTTAGAACACATCTTAGAAAAACAAACAAACATATTATACAGTACAGTAATAGTCACCAAGACCCAGCATATGGTATGATGGGTGACTCAAGAGGAAAGACACACGAGATATACCCGCCTGGTCCACCTTCCCGACTAACGTAAGGCTCGGTGAGTCTCGTGATGTCTTCTGTCCTTGCCCGGGGGTGATGCTGCCACCCCAACACATTCACCCTCATTACCAGGTTCCTCACACACTCACCCCCATTCACCAGGTCACCCTCACACACCCCATCCACCCACAGCCCCCACCCCATCCACCCACAGCCCCCCACACCCCATCCACCCACAGCCCCCAAAACCCCATCCACTCACCGCCTCCCCACCCCATCCCCTGACAATCCCCCATCAGATCTTAAGCAAACTTACCTGTAGCGTGTAGGATAGTGCCCCCGCCAGAGTGAAGAACTTGACCTGACCTGACCTGAGAGCGACACCCACCATGGAGCCATCTGGCGAGAACTTACAGAAGAGAACGTCACTGCCACAATCTCTGGAGGAGGAGAGAGAGAGGTTCGCCGGGGTGAAAAGACAACATGGACAGACAGAAAGGTAAAATGGGTTCTGTTAACATCCATCCTCGTCCCTTCCTTTTCACCCCACCTTACTTACACCCCAATAGTCCCATAAACACCCCCATTAACACCCCTTCTCACTCCCCATCAAACACCCACTCACATGGTAGTCCTTATCTTGAGTTTACCCTCCAAGGAGAGGCTGGATGATGCAGGTTGGTGGAGCTTAACCAGGAGGGAGGCCAAGGAGGTACCGGAGGCCACGGAGGACGAGGTGGAGATCCTCCTCTTGCCGTGGGGAGACGTGCTGTTGTGGGGGAAAGGAGAGGATGCTCGTTAAACCTAACTTGGGTGGTGTTGTGGATTAATGATAAGAGGTAAATATAAACCCCAGCATGAGAGAGAGAGAGAGAGAGAGAGAGAGAGAGAGAGAGAGAGAGAGAGATCATTTATGAATTTCAATATTAGAAGTTCAAGTATTTTTACTATTTACCCGTGTACAGATGTCCTAGAGGGTGAAGTCCTGGTGGAGGATGAGGAACAGGCCTGGGAGGGCAGCTGGGGCAGCACTAAGTTTGGAGGAGACGACCCTCTACCACTACCCACCTCCGATACTCCTGATGGGGGAGACACGTACTGTACAGCTCTCATCTCAGTACACAATGACCAAATGGTGTCACTATAGTGTGCGTTCTACACGGTATTTAGATTAGGTAAGGTAAGGTTACGTTACGTTAGGTTGGGTTAGAGTGAAGATATCCTTGTCGACCGCACGCTACAGTACCACCAAAAACTGTACTCGAGGCTCTCAGTATAATGAATTATTACTCTGGTTTTGAGAGTACAATGAGATTTCACCTTTAATCAGTTAATTTCACCTAACACCTGTTATGATGAGTCCACATTAACTCACTGAATCCGTAGGTGTGGATCCAGAAATTACCTGAACTTGGCCGCTGTGACATGTTGAGATGACCTGATGACATACTGTAGGTAACTAAGAACACTCCTTTCTGATACGATTCGACCAGGCTACTGTTCACTGTAATCACTACCACACTAACCACAATCTTCTTTGACCACTGTTTGTTCTGGTCCCAACCCGTCTTGACCACTAAAACTGTCAGCTGGTACACATTTCAACACTAATCAAAATTATTCGCATATTAACCATACAACTCTAATTCATATACCCCAGACCCTAGTTCTCCCTAACAACATTACCCCACGGCATCCATGAACTAACTAAAGTGAGAGTGGTGTTGAACTGTTGACGTTGTTTCTATGACAACGGGGACGCCATGGATCACAGGCGTGTGGGAAAACAGTAACCATTGTTTTAGCGAATGTAAATATCAATGAGGATTAAAAAAATGGGGGAGGGGAAATGATGGTTGTTTTATGGCGGGAAATGGTTTAGTTGTGAAATGGTAAATAGACCAACAAGTGACGAACACAAGACTCCAACCGCTCAAACGTAAGAGGAATAATGGAAATAATAAATAAAAATAAATGAGCTACTTAGGTAGACTCATAAGAGTGGTTGGTAAATATTGACACTATCTAACCGCAGGTTTTTTATGACTCCGCCAGATAATTAGTTCCCCATCATGACAAACACACAATGTATCTTAGAAAGGTTGTGGTAAGTAAAAGTAGTGCAGGTCTGCTTTAGGTAAATTAAAAATTAACTCAATAATGTAAACAGACTTGCCTGAAGTGTTTGTGGAGGTGAAAGAGCCGGGAGGATATTATGGTAGTTATAGGTAATAGGTTAGTTAGGTGATTGAATATGCTGCGTCACTAATACTTTCCTCAAAACTTTTCCATTTATCGCTTTTGTGAAACAAGAGTTAAAAAAAACACATGTGTCATAAAATTCCAACCATCTACTCCTTACACTTTAATGTATACTTATACTCTCGTGTGTAAGTAAGTACACGATATCTGGATAAATTGATATCGTGAGAAACTACGATGTTTGTAACAAAAATGTGTGGGAATAGAAAAAAAAACCAATGTCTTCGTCCGTATACTGTAGAATTGTAAATTAAAGACGAAAAACGTGGTTTCATAACTTGTTTCTCAAAGATTAGGAATTACTACGTATGCATAGTATTTTACAACCATTTTTTTACAGATGACAAACCCACGTGAGTGTGCGTAACCTTATCCAACATAACCATGAAAATGCATCTACATAAACGTCTGACTTATGATGTGGTTCATAATATATATTTTTTACACATAGTATGGGCATGTGTAAGTTATTCTGTATTTCTAAGTTACGTTACAAAACACGTGATTCACTTTCCCCAAAAAAATGAAGTGAGTGACATTTATCCCGTGAGTAGTCTGCCAGAACTTTTAAACTCGTTTTAAATGTTCTGCTCAACAATGGGCTCCAGACAGGTAGACACAGCAGCTAGTCTATGAGCTTCTGTATTGATCACAAGGGGCGTCGATAGCCGCACAACACGGACGCTCATTGGTCAGTACCAGCCAATGAAAGAGGCAAGGACCAATCAGGAGCCAGCGTACAAGGCGCGTTGCTACTTGTCTGAACGTCAACCTCAGAGTGCCATATTTACTCTCCCAGTCTTGTCACTTGTGGCCAAGAATTAACTGTTTTCTGTGAGGTACAAGAACAGATATCAAGATGCCAGTACCGAGCGACGCAGAACCAGTCTATTCTCCCTTCTTTGGAGCTATGGGAGCCTCAGCAGCCATGATATTTAGCGGTGAGTAACACGAAATAAGAAGGTGTTGGCTCCTCTTTCACACACAGACCAGAGAGGTATAATGATTTAATTGATGTTATGATGCATTAAACGACCACTATGTTAATACTGTATATAAAATATGGATATAAAAATGCCTTCCAATAATATTTAATAAAAGTACAATGTATCTGGTAGGTGTTGGCTCCTCTCACAGACGGGGAAGATATTATGAATTTATGTTATGATGCACTAAACTTCCACCATGTTAATACCGTATACAAAATCTGGATATAAAAATACCTTCCAATAATATTTTAAAGTACATTATATTTCCCCGACTCCACCCATTGATGGTTGGGGGAAAAGTTATAGTCTCAAGTCTGGTCAATACTCACTTCAAGTTGACCAAATAGACAATAACAAAAGACCAAATTCACGATAACAAAAATATTTCATGGTAATTAGTTACCATTTCTTGTAATACTTCATTATTTTTGCACACCTTAGGAGGTTTTTATAGATGAAAAGTAAGAATCGTTCAAAACACACCAAAAATCACTGGAAAATACATAATTTCAACCTCTCGGACGGTAGTAACTTAAAATCCTAAAATTCGCTGGAAGACCAATACTATAAGAATATCCTGTGTACACCACAGGGCATTACAGTATAAGCTATACATTTTGTTTTTTCTGTTATATTTGTGCTGGGAAATATTTACTAGCATAAAAGTATGGTTTTAGGTCATTAAGTTAGTTGATAATAATTAGGCAGTGGTTATTTAACTGGTCACGGACTTTTACTTCCTTCCGTCATTTTGTCCGGCCATTCGTCCTGATTGGTTGAGGTAGATGATGCTGATTCTTGATTATTGAATTCAGTCATTACAAACCTACCTTAACCTAACCTAACCCAATAATAATTGCAAATAACTGAATTTAGTAATCCAGGTCATAAACCTTGACCAATAAGAATGAACACCGGACAGGTAGCTAAAGGTCCGTGTCTGGGCAAATAACCCGGGTGTAAAATTTAAGGACAAGGGTTTAGGTTATCCAGCCACCACACGAAAAATCTCTTGTATAAATAACTCATTTATTTCCTCAACACTAAAGCAAATAGGGCGGAGGAATAACACTTTTCATATTCAGGATTTGTCCTTAGTTTTTTCCATTAAGGATGCTGCAGGCACCCACCCTCTTCACAGCCTTAAACACCCCCCAGCCAACCATCGCATGATAACCGACATTCCTTCCTTTCCCTTACTAACCTAACCACGACCAGTGGGATTTGGAGATGGTCTAATTATCTGGGACACAGTATAAGTATCAAGTGCACCTCAGATATTTACTTACTTCTAGGATATATTCTTAGTGCACATAAAGCAAATAAGATATATTTTCTCCATAGACTTCAAAGTTTTATGATTGGCTAAAGTTTCAGATAACCTTAACATCACTTGACTAAATGCGTACTGTAATAAAGAAAAAATAAACAAATCGATATTGAACAAAAGATACTGTTACCATAACTTACTGTTCATGTAGTATTCTTAAAGATATTATCATGCTTATTGTTTTGTTTTATTTAGATAGTGAAAATGGCTCTAGATGGAGGTGATGGCTAGCTGGTTGAAGGGGCCCATGGTGGTGAGTGGTCAGGGAGAGGGTGGGTTAAGTTAGGTTAGGGAGAGGGTGATTATTCACATGCTTTTCAATTGTGTTTTATATTGTATGGTATTTTATATGTTCTTTTGGGAGGTATGGCTGCAAGAAATACATGAAATTATTTGAGAGTAACATTAAATTTTATTATTTTTTTATTTAAATTTAGCCCTGGGAGCAGCATATGGCACGGCAAAATCTGGCGTGGGTATCGCCGCCATGTCAGTGATGCGGCCTGAACTTATAATGAAATGTATCATTCCTGTGGTTATGGCTGGTATCATTGCTATTTATGGCCTGGTCGTCGCCGTCCTCATCGCAGGCAAGCTTGACTCGGCTATGGGAGGATACACCTTATATATGTAAGGAAATTTTTACATAATAGTTACAATATACTAAATGTGGCCACAATTTTAAGAGATTTTTGGTTATCTTTCAAAGTTGTTTTTCCTGAAGCACAGTTGACTAAGTGATTACATTACTCCTGACGTTTAAATATATTAATACATTTATTCCTAAGCTTGTTCAGTTGCCTGCCCGCCACATAAAATTTCTTGATGTTAATGACTGAATGATTGGCTTTTTTTTTCATTTCACCATTTAGAGTACTGTAAGTGATAGTGGATACGTATTAAAGATACTTTTTAATTCACAGGGGATTTGTCCACCTTGGCGCCGGGCTCAGTGTTGGACTGTCTGGTCTGGCCGCTGGATTTGCTATTGGAATCGTAGGCGACGCTGGTGTGAGGGGAACTGCCCAACAACCACGACTGTTTGTGGGTATGATCCTCATCCTCATCTTTGCTGAGGTGAGTAGACAACAATTACTCCTGTTTGAGTTTGTGTCATTACTGCAAAAACCAACATATAAGAGACTTCTCTCTGATTATAATCCGTTAGATGGAAGGATTCACATCTAATGAACCTTCGATGTAACGGACTTTCATCTCTATATACAGTAGTTCATTAGATCGAGGTTTTCATTTAGTGGACCCTCAATATAACAGAGTTTTATCTCTATATAGTTTTCTAGATGGAGGTTTCACATCTAACGGACCCTCGATATAGCGGAATTACCCCTCCATATAGTCCAGTAAATAGAGGTTTCACTGTGCTGTCCTTTAATTCTGTTTGTAAATAGTTATATTAAATTTGGCAAATATATTAATTAGATCAGACCATGTTCATACAACACTTGTTACGCTGAGGCTTATGTCATTCCCGAAAGATTTTTGTTTATTAATCTGCCATTTCGAAATTCAATTGCAAGCTGAAAGTCCTCAAGAACAGAGCTGTACTGTACTGTAGTTGGGTTCAGTGTTGGAAATATGAATGTTAGTATGTTAAAGTACTGTATTATGGGGAGGGAGACCAGATGAGGTTGTTGGGACACTCGAGATGCAGAAAGGTCAATGGCTGTTGTGTACAAAAAAAAAAGTTGGAGTGGAGGATCGACAAGTGCAAAATCTTCCGGAAGGGTAGGTGGTGCTGGGGTGTTGATGGCTGAAAAGTGGGTGTAGAAAGTACTTTAGGTGAGATAGTAATTGAAAGAATTCTGCTGCTATTGGTAGGCAAGAATCTGGTGGTACGGTAACTGTTGTTTCTGTAGGACAAGTTTTGGGATGAGTTGCATGTACAGGGTGGAAAAGGCTTTGAAATAAGAAATATGAGTTTTGGGATGCAATAGGCTGTTAAAGAGGTGCAAGTCTGCTGAGCAAATACGAGTCAGGTTTCGCACACAAAAACATACTGACTACTTGCTGTACTTGTCAGGAAATCAGGTGCCAGGAAACTCTATGGATGCAAACAGTCAGTGGCAGTGTGAGGGGTAGCTACTGTAACAGGATGCTGGACCAAATTAACATGGTGGTGGAATGATGACAAAGTAGAGTACTGTATAAAACCCCTTCATATGGGGGATTATACCTAAGGAATCTGATCCATCCCCCTAACTCCAGCACCTCCATTTAATAAGAGTAAATATTGATGATCCTAACAACATTTTTATCTGTGTTTTTTAATTATAGTTAATAATGAACTCAATATCCCTCTTATCCCCCTGCAGGTACTGGGTCTCTATGGTCTGATCGTAGCTATCTTCTTGTATACCAAGACTTCATCATAAATACAACACAAGTATACAAAAGCAGTGTCATCATCCTGGCCTGCACCACTTATATATCCCTGCCTAAACACTGGATTACTACCAAGGCAAATTTTGAGGGAATGCTCCGTTGCAGTTGAACCATTGGGGTTGTGGTCAGGTGGTGCTAGTCTGTCGATGCCTACGATATCTGTACAGTAACTAACTAATTAACTAACTTTTCATCCACATATGACTAAAATAAATCCAGATTACACTGAACACAGTGGCAAATAGGGAAGTATTGAGTTTTCATTTATGTAACCTTGATGTGTAATGGATAGTTTCCAATCAAAATATATCTAAAGGGTCTTTTAAAATAAAGAATGTCACGACGTAGCTAGCACCATCTACGAGAAACACGACCGAGGCAGAACTGCATTGTTAATGACTCGGGAGCTCATCTTCAAACATAATATTACAATTTACCTCCTATAATGATGAAATGTGTTTTGAAAAAGAGTCAAATATCTTCAGATTAAAATATCTGAATGCTGTAGTATTTCTCTGATAATTTACTGAAACATAGAGTATCATTTATAGTGTGGATACTTAGGTACAGTACAGCCTAATAGCATTCCATTATAATTTAGTTGAAAAGAGTAAATTTTAGACTTGTAAGTACAGTACAGGACTAGACTGTACTATACTGTAATCACTTTTGAAATGGAAATGTTATGGTTTGTTGTCATGGTTGTTAATAAAAGATATATGCATATATACATACATATATGTTCTATATGTCAACTGTTTGTGAAGATCATTACTATTGGCAGTGTAAACCAAGATGTTGGGTCATATGAGGCATTGTGCAGAAGACCTGTATTACTTAATTAGGTTTGAATATTTATAACTCTAGCATAGTAAATGTTTCAGTACAGTATTTTCTGATTACCATCTTTAAAAGAGTTTTACTTTGAAAATTATTTGACTTATTTTTTACTTTGTACTACAAGGTTGTTAATATGTATAATATTTATAATAAAGACATTTAGTAGTGTATTTTTAGATAATTGGGTTTTTGTGAATACATTTGAATATTGGGAAAAAAAATCTGCATTATAATATAAAACGTGCATTGTATCTACGTTTTTTTTAAACCATTTGTTTCCAGCAGCTTAAATGTGTGGACTGGCTCTTATTAAATTGTTCTCTCTGTTAAAGGTTCATATAGCTATTTAATGCCAACATGAAAATTTAAACTTGGTTCGATTGGTATTTTTGCTTTGTGTGACATTCTGATTTTCATTATGGTGATCCTAATGCTCGCTCTGTTGGGTGTAGATATTTTTTTATGAAAGCACAATTTCAGTATTTAGTAAAAAGAGAATAGTCATGAAGCAAAGGCCTTCATATAGTTACATTCCTGTCATGTACTATCATAAATATATAATATAATTTTGTTGACGGATTACTAGGATTTTAGTCAAAGTTGAACACGTTGGAAGTTCATGAATGCACTGATACAAATATTAAGAAAACACCTATAATACTGTACAGCATTGCTAAGTATAGTTATAATACCCACAGTGATGACACAACTCTCTTTAAATAGATGTGTAATGTGTTTCATGCATTATTAAAAAAAAAAAAGTGTTGTACTTATCGAAGTGTATTACTTGGACTCCATTGTGTTGTAATGGATAAAATACTTGGGTTTCAATTTCACTTCCTTACATACTGTATGTGAAAATGTGAGCATTTCTCAGATTCTCAAGATATCTGTAGAACTTTTAGAATCAAATGAATAATCCATATCTACATAAGATTTTAAATGGCTTAATTTCACTGCACTGTTTCTCGGTAATAGTCAAACAAACAACACCATTTATGTAACTGTTCCAAATGGATGTTTGTGACCCTGTATAGCCAATACTCAATCTGTGTCTGAATGTTAATATGACGGAAATAGATGTGTTGCAATAGGATGTTGTTCGGGTTAGTCACTCCCTGCCGATCAATTTTTGTCTTTTGAGTGTATTATCAGTGCAGAAGTCAGTCAGTATTGAGGTGGTATGTGTGTATGTACAGTAACCTAGGTAGAGATTGGTGTAAAAGTTGTTCCATTAAAATATATGTCCAATAATCCCTTTTCTTCACATTGAAACCACCCGCTAAGTATACAGTACAAAAGTTAAGAACAAAGGAAGTGAGAAAATCGGAAAATGACCAACCCACAAGGACACTAAAAGCAGTCCTAGACTCTGTTATATTTCACACAAAGCCTGTTCATCAATTCCTGGCTGGTGAGGTCGTTGATTATATGTTCAAAGTCCGTGTGTTATATGGACTAAAAATGAAAGTATATATAAATATATATATATATATATATATATATATATATATATATATATATATATATAAAGAGAAATCCTCCATATGTGGGAAGGAATTCAATTAAATAAGATAAAAATTAGAATGCTCATAAATGCTGGAGAAAAGACAAGGGAAAACTTGTAAGAAATTCACCCAAAAAAATACTATATACCAACTAGTAAACTGGTATTGCCAAAAACTTCCCCCTGCACCATAGATTAATACATACACACACTATATGCAGCTACCACATACAGTATACCCTATAGCCCGAAAACACCAGAGTTCAAGATGTTAGGGTGTGATCGGTCAAGACTCTGTTACGTCTCTAACTAATATGAGTAATTCTTCATTTTAGTCTCGCTTTGTTATTTGCATTGTTAGCCCAAAAAATCATAAAAAATTTTTTTATACACCTGGAAGCGGCTGGCGACGTAAGAAAAAAGTACGATCCGATCATGGCGAAGAGGATAAACGTAGAAGTAACTCCTATTTTCATGTATTCATTCGTGCACCGCCTAACCTTTGTCTATCTTTAAGGAAGAAATGAAATGTCAGGTTTCTGTTATTCCTCTTGCGTTTTCCATACTCCACTCGCTCGTAATTGATGTTTTTCTGGGAGCCGAGGTTGTCTCTCCCGCCGTCAGCCCGCCAATCACCAGAGCCCGTCACGTTTGTTCACTACTAGGGATCAATTGGGAGTCCATACAACTAGTTTCTCTCTACATATTCCTTGTTTTAAATCAAGTCACTTGTACTAATGCAAAGACATTTTCGGTATTTGTTCATTATACCGAGACATGGCAGAATTCCTCCCCGATAATCCATTTTAATTTAGGTTCATAATTTTAATGTTCGCGGTAGTGTCGTGAATACAGAATATATATTTACCGAGTATAACACCTAAAGTACTGTCGTTTTGATTACGGTAGATATATTTTTTAATTTGTCTTGAATTTAAAATTAAAAATAATTCGTAATAAACATAAAGACACAAGAAAAAATAAAATAAAGACTAATGATGACGGTCGTGTATCTTCTCCGACATTGACCATAAACAAATATGGCGTCGACGATCGAGAGCAAAGTGGAGGAGCGGAAGGACACTAATGAGAAGACTGTCGATAGAGAGAAGGTTAAGTCTATTATAACTATGTTTTTATAATTTGTTAAGTCTTATATCATTGAAGTTTATAACAAAAATCCAGGTGATAAGGTCTACATTGACTCTTCCATGTGTTGTGAGGAAAATACTTGCTAAATGCTACAAGTTTCTCCTCAATTTGTTTGGTTGGCTCGTGACTGTGTTTATTATAGATGGTTTTAAAACAATATTGTTTGGGTTATCTATGGTCATGTTAACTGCTGTTCTGGTGCCCTTATTATAGAGTGGATATCAATTCACTAGAGTCGGTGCAGCGAAGAATAACGAAAATGATTCCGGGATTTAAAACCTTCCATATCAGAATAGGTTAAAGAAACTAAATTTGCATTCCCTAGAAAGACGAAGAGTGCGGGGAGATATGATAGAAGTATTTAAGTGGGTGAAAGGAATCAATAAAGGGGATATAGATAAAGTTCTTATAATATCCGAGCAGGATAGGACTCGGAGCAACGGATTTAAGTTGGATAAGTTTAGGTTTAGGAGGGAGATAGGAAGGAACAAGCTTAGCAACTTTGTAGTTAGTGCCAACCGGCCTATTGCAGACTCCGTATTTTCTTATGCTCTTATGTTTTTATTACAGTTATATCGAGGTTTCACAATATATACAGTAGTTTATTTTCAAGTTCTTGCACTCTACACTGACAACACTCGGATAAATACAGTACGGTATAGAAATCTTCTTAACTATTCTAAATTCAGTTTGTGTTAATCATTTAATATTTCCAGACCTGCCCTCTGTTGCTGCGAGTATTTTGTTCAAATGGACGACACAACAATTTAGCTGAGTACAGACGAGGCAACACTCCCCCAAATGAGCTACAAATATATACTTGGTGAGTTGTGAAGCTAATGGTTGCTCGTGGGGGGGTGGGGGTCGAAGTTAGAGATAATACCTTATAGTGTATGTGTGAAAGTTTAGTCTTATTGGTCTGAGAAAAACTTATGGAACGTAACTCTTCAGGATATTAATTGTTGCGTCATTTACTTTTCTTGTTTTGTCAGGATGGATGCTACCTTGAAGGAGATTGGTGGTTTAATTCTGGAAGTAAACCCTGACACACGAAGACGCGGGACAGTGTTTGAGTTCCGGCTGGTTTATCCTGAACTGACTAAACCCATTCCTCGCATGAAAGAACTGGGTTCAATAATTATTGGACAAAAGGGTTTTGATGACAACAAAACTCTTGCTCAATTGGGGTGAGTTTTTATTTTTATTTAACAGTAGTTTTGTCATAGATGTGTACAATACAAAGGTATACAGTATTTTGAATAGGAATTTCAATAAACTGACTTTTTCTTGCCTCACAAATGCTGACCTATGAATTCATTGGTGAATTATTCAATTTGTAACGCAAGAAATTCCTGGGTACTGTGAATCACATTGGTGCGGCTATATGCATGGTGTACGTCATCTGCTACTGTGTTCTGTCACTATTAGTATGATTAAGGCTTGTCACAGTTGAAATAAATCTTCTCAGAAATAAATATAACTCGTGTTTAACTACTGTACTCGATGAGTTAGGATGATTTTAAAAGGAGGGAGGCAGTGTAAGTCTGGCATAACGATAGACATAGTTTTGCATTTCATAATATGTACAATAGTGTAACACTATAAATATGGCAGACATTTATGTTTATGAAGTACATATTTATGAATATTACTGGGCTTTGATACACAGTTATGACCACAGCTTGTCAAAACTGTCATAAAATGCCCAAAGAGTAAAATGTGCTTTCTGATGACTATGCTGTTTAAAGACCCTCAGCATGGACAGATACGAGGCAGACAAAATTATTTTCTTACGTATACTGTATGTACCTTAATCCCTTCACTACGGGGATGTCACTTTAAAATATTTTAGTTAGGTACTGTATTGCCAGACTATTTTATTTAGCTTAGGGGGGATCCCATACACAAGGAGTTAACCACACTCCTCTATGATATAATACTGGACTGTGTTGTGTAGAGTGTAAGTGGGATGAGTTTTGAGAAAAACTGGAAGCAAGATTTGGTGCTACTTTAACGTGTGGTCTACAAAGATATCTTTAGTATAACCCAACCTAACTTTCCCTTACCTTACCTAAATATCTTGTAGACCACACACACACACACTGTGGTAGCAACCAAGATTCTTAATGCTAGAAATAATCAGGGACTGGAAATTAGATTCATTAGAGTACAGTACAGTAGTATTGTTCAAGACCAAGATGACAGGAAAGCAGTAATGACTTATATGTAACAGCAAATTTAAAAAGGGTGTTGAATTTCTGTCATGTTTGTTAAAACCTGGAAGAATAATTATGGATTTTGTGCTGTGGAGTTATTTGTTACACTATACGGTCGTTAAAACATGAACCGGCTTGATGCTGCTGCTTAATATGCACAATGAATTGATAAAAAAAAATTAAATATCCCTTTAAAAACGGCAGTTGTAAGTTGTGGATATAAGCGAATGTGTTTCTGTTGTCGTCCTTTGGTAAAAATATGGTTTGGCTTATGTTTAAGGTGTTGAATTTATCTGGTTTATGGGTTTGGTATTATTTTACGAACTGGCAACTGTTTGACTATTTATGGGCTTTGCTGGAAGGGCCAGGTAGACCCATGTTCTTGAGGCAGTGGGATCTTAAAGCTATACAGTATTAGGGGAGATATGTCCATATAAGCCAGGGTATCATGGTGTGTTCTCCCTTGGGACCTACTTACCTATGCGGTAGATGGAGCAATCTGTACCACCTCCTTTTTATCATAGAAATTCATATGGGTTTTAGATGGGCTCAGGTTATAAATGTGAAAATTTATCCTAAAATCCTGTTTTATAACTGTGCTTGGATAGAACAACTTGGTTCCTGTCTTACCTTATTAGATGTTAAACAAGATGGGATTGTGATTGACCCTGAATTAAATGGGTTACTCATGTTCTGTGTGACATTTGACTCATAGGTTGCCAAACCTGTAGTTTCTGTCCTAGATTTATAGTTGTATGTGGATGAGAAGGTTATTTTTTTTATTATTATAGAACCACTCAGGGTAGGCTAAGATGTTGCTGAGTCCCTAAAATCCCAACTGTATGGTGGACATATTCTTGAACTGTTTTATCCAGGTTTACTGTACTTATAAGTCGGGATATCGTGATCACTCTTGTGTTTATGATTTAAATTTAATCTCTGACTTTGTTTTATCTTGGAAGTTTGTGATATCAGGATATATTTTTTCTTTCTCCTTCAGATTTGTAATTGGAGACTTCCTGGATATTGCCATTAGCAACCCTGGTCGGGGGATTCCTCAGCGACGTATGCGTCCTTATTAGTGACCTGCTGGAGAAACAGTTGAGGCCAGGAAGTACAGTACTGTACAACAATACTGTACTTATATTTGAAGTATGGAAAATGTACTTTGAAATATTAGATGCGTACTACTGTAGAATGTAAGATAAGACCTCAGGCTGTCAGAAGTAAGATTGGCCTCATAATATGTGTGGAAGTTGCATTGTAATATATTTGTTTCTTGGGAAAAATATTAAATTCTTGTTAACGTTCAGAGGTCTTATCTTATGACTGAGCATTATTATAGTTATTTTAGATCCGATGCAACTAAAAGGACGATTTTATAATTGAAGAATAGAGTTACTGTACTCTGTTTACTTGACTTTTTTTAAAGATAAAAGCAGGTATTGTACTGTACAGTGAAATGCAGTTAAAGTTTGCAAACTTTCAAATTACCTTAACTTTGGAACCAGTAAAGATATTGAAGTGATTCAAGTGACAGATTGTAGCATTATTAGTGCAGATTTAATTGATATTGGTGAAAGGCATCATAGGTGTTGTTTTTGGACATATCAGAGTTTGTCCTACTTCAGTTGTGTGCTTCTCAAATATGGAATACATGTAATGTATTGTACTGTACCTACTTTTAAAAGATTTACGTGATCATTATTTTTTCTGCACCTTTTCATATCCAGTACTGTACAACCTTTTCATACTGGTTTATACCCGGTATTCTTATGGCGGGAGATTTTACTGAAAATGTTATTATTATTTCTTTCTTTTCAGTATCCATCTGTTTAACATTTTTAAATAAAATGTGACACACTTTTCCATATTTTTTTTGTATTAGTTATCCTTTTAGGAACATATATTATATTGTTCATGCAGTATTGCCAAGGAAGTCGTCAGTGATATAACCAATAATACTTTTTTAATGGTTTTATGAAAATTCTTTGCTATTTATTATTTATGTTTTATACCGTGTATTACAGTATTTGTTTTTAGCCTTCTAAGCATTTAGTTTAATTCTGTGGCATATGACCTAAGCTGTTTCGTTGCCAAGGATGTAATTACAGTAAAACCCCGATTAACCGACTTTTGGATTAACCGTCAATCCCGAACCCCCTAAATTTTTTTTTTTTTTACAGGGATTAGCCCACCTGGGCACAGGTCACTGACCCACATCGAGACCTGGGGGGCGATAATGTAATAATTTTAATAATGATAATGCTTATAATAATAATAGTATTAAAGAACCATAAAGAAATACAAAAATGAAAAAAAAATCAAGAGTGAGAAACAATGTACCTGTATGTATGTTGTGTTGTCAATGGTAAGAGAAACAATTGAGACCCTGCAATTGTGTGTAAATGAGGCAGAAAGTCAGATGAGCAACCTGGGACTTGGTCACAATTTTTGTGATGACATGTTCTTTGACTTTTCCATTTTTTATTCACGGTTTCTGTGCTGGTTCATATTTATTTACTAAAGTGGTTAATGTTTTAAAGCAAATTCTATTGAAATATGAATGGCAAATGAACAAAAATGAATAGAGGGACTTAGATGAGGTAGGTTAGGGAAAGGTATTTTGAAAATGTATGTTTTATTTCCGTAGACTATGTATTATTAACCGACCAAAGAGGTTTTACTGTACCACAATCAGTCAATCAACCAGTAATGTGTGAATTTAACAATGGCCAATGCTATCAACCAGTAACTTCTTCAGTCTAGATAGAGAAGTAAACACCTCTGTCAATACTGGGGGCTGTTCCTGGAGATTGATAACGTCTTAATTAAAAACATGTCAACTAATTGCTTCGTCTTCAAAAAAAATGCAGACCTTTACGTTAGTCAAGATTCTACATCAGATTTGTACCATATTAGGTGAATGAGGTGTCTAGTACATCCAGGGCAACCTACAGGTGGAGTTGTATGTAACAGGTGAAGAGATAACAGGTGTTCTGAATCTACTCACACCTGTTACACACACACACACCTGTATACACTCACAGACACACCTGTACACACACACTCACAGAGCTACTTAGTTTGTATATACGCTCTTTGAGTTGTGTGAGTATTATGTAGTATAACAAGTAAAGGGGTATAATTTAAAAATATTTGTGAATATGAGGTAACTTGGAGTGAATATATATATATACAGTATATATGTTTTATTTTATTTTATTTTCAGTTTGCCTGTCATTGATTATAAGCATAAAAACAGTTTCTGTGCTAGTACAGTATTAATAGTCCATTGAAGGTCAAGACATACTGAGGAAGGTGTTTCTCAGGATCAGAGGACAATTATTGTGGAGGTGATGATTGGTACAAAGGAAACAGTAGTGACAGGAACTGTGGTGCTAGTGTTCTTTTGGAGTGGAATTCTTCACCTTAGTTGCAGGTGGATCATCTCTGTCCTTCTATCACATTGGGACATGTTTCCTAATACAAACTTGGCTCATCATGTACATTTGCTTCAAGAAGCTACGTCACAAATTGGTGAAATAGAATCAAGCTTGGCAAATGAACGCAGGTAAGTTACTGACTACTTACTGTACAGCTGCCTCTCCCCCTGAACCACGAACCCCGAGAATCAGACTCTTGAATCCCAATCTCAGGGTTCGTGTTTCAGAGGGAGTGGCGAGCGGACTTTAGTATTTGACTGTACTGGAGTGTGTATCTAATATAATCAAATAATAATCTCAGTAATGTAATTGTAAACTGATCTACAAGTAAATATACAATATGTTTAATACTATTACATTGCAATTAATTAAAAAATCTACTGTTGGTGTGCATAGAAACAGCAACAAGTTATGATTTATAGTACATCACATGCTTATGCCTCTGATTTAATGGACTACAGTTGTATATAGATATGGAAGTCGGGGTTATATTGAGTGTGAATTTTGTGGTTTGTGGTTCGGGGGAAGAGGCGAATGGATTTCAATACTTGACTGTAAAGTTTATGTGTGAAAGAACAATACAGGTATATATGTATTTTTGGCTCTCAATAGACATGACATTAGCTAACCGACAATCATTATTTCAGGTTAATGTCGAACAATCTCAAGAAGTTGGTTACACTCCTTGAAGACCTTGTTGGTGAGATAGATCTTGAACAGGTGACTGACAAGAAGCTGGAGAAATATTTTGATTTTGTCAGCGAAAAGGTAACAGTCAGCTGGTTCTTTAGTCAATCTTGGATAGAAAGGTGGTTAATGCCTTGTGATTCTGTTATGATTGATAGTTGTTTTTATGTTACGGCAGAAGTAATTTACAGTCTTAATATAATACAGTATTTGATACAATTTAGTACTTCAGGTTTTATTTGGGGCTTAGAATTCTGTTTCTGTTTGCTACAAAAACAAATAATAATATAATACAATGCCCATCTACTACAGTATAGTATTTTATGTTTGTGTTTTATGCTGAGACAGTACTATGCTAAGCCCCCTTCTCCGAAAGCATGAATTTATTTGTTACTTTGAGAGTAAATATTCTTTATTTCAAACTTTTTTATCCATTCATATCTTGGGTGTTAATGTTTTCAAGCAGTTATATTTCTACATTCATTAAATTCAGCATTAAAATGAGCCAGTACTGGATATCCCTAAGTTATACTGTATTGTATATGGATGTTTTTCGCGGTATATCAATATTAATCGAACATTATGTCTGAACCGATGAGCTTCTTAGCCTAGTACCGTCAGCTAAAAAATGACTACCTTGTATAGTAGTCCAACATTTTTCTTTCTCTCCTCACAGCTCTCTCTCTTAGATCCTCTGATGATAAAAGCTCGTGACTTGAATGATGCCTTGAACAACAACTTGGAGACTGATCTTGCTGAAGTTCTAAGACGTTTTAGTGCTGTTAAGCAAGACTTTTTTAGAATATTTTCCCCAAAATACATTGAGGGAAGAAACACTGGAGATAGCAAGTATATGGCGGGTGATGAGAGAGTGTATGGTGATCATAATAGGAATTTTCTACAAAGGAATGAACTTTAATTTTTATTTTGACTATAGTCGTTTTTGTTTTTTTCCAGTTGATGGTACTGTATAAGTCCCCACCTCCCCCCTTTGCAGCTCATTGGCTTATACATAATGTTTGCATAATATTGATATACAGTATTGCAAATAAATTCACATATAATTGTAATTGATATCCAGTGTTGGTTCATTTTAATGCTGAATTTAACGTATGTAAAGCTATAACTGCTTGAAAACATTAACTTTCAAGATGTGAGTGGATAAAAAAGTTTGAAATAAAGAATATTTACTGTCAAAATAACAAACAAAGTCATGCTTTTGGAGAGGGGCTTCTTATCTTAGTAAAAAAAAAAATAAACGACTATAGTGTACATTAATATCATGTACTGAACTGGGTAATTTTGATTCTCATTATTTCTGACTATTTACTAAACCTTTAAATACTGTGTATGTATGTATTAAAAAAAGTCCTGTTCTGTACTGTATATCTTGCGAGACAAAGAGGATCAAGAGTAAGAAATGCCATAAACTTTATAATTTTACTTTACATTAATCCCCGAGTCCCAAAATGTGTATACTGTATAGTCTATTCACTTAAATATTCCAGTGTACAGTATCACCAAACTTGTGAATAATTTGTTAGTTTACTGAAAGGAAGAGTTGTGGTATTGCACTAATTTTCATGTAAAGGAAAGTTGATATGACTACAGATAATTGTTTTTCAGCTAAGAATATTGGGAAATGTATGAGGTGCACAGAACTGAAGTAAGACAAGAGCTGTAAGTGAGAAACAGAGAAAATGCAGTTAAAGTTGTAGCAAACCTTCAAATTACCATAACTTTGGAACCAGTGAAGATATTGAAGTGATTCAAGTGGCCGATTGTAGCATTGTTTTGTGGCATACCAGCGCTTGTCCTACTTGGGTTCTGTTCTCCTCAAGTTGTTTTAAGGGGATTTACATTTGGTGGTTTTTTATTTTATTAATTTATTTAGTAGTCTTCATAAATAAGTCACCCTGTTTAGTACACTTGCAGTATCTCAACTCCCCATCTTATCTCTACCACTGAGGTAAGCATCTGGGTTACTGATGTAACAAATGATTATTTGTCCCTATATTGAATGTAACATATTTTATGTAACAAATTACTCTTTTATTGTCTTTTTAATTCTTTATGTTTATTTACTTATTTATTTATATACTTATTCTTCTTTCTCTTACTCTTTCTTTTACTTGTTTGTTATTCTTTCTCATTATACTCGTGAGAGGTGGAGGGAGTGAGGGAGGTAATTGTTTACGTTGGAGGAGAGGGTGTGAGGGGAGGGGGGTACAGGACTAACAGTTTGTGGTTAGGCTAGAAAGGCCTACACCAAGGGGAGACTCAGGGAAGCTGGTTAGGGGGACTAAGATATCAATACTTCACAGAGGAGAAATATAGGATAGTTATTATATATATAGAACTCACCGTATTACTGCATAATACCAAGACATTTATAACACATCACTCTTTCTTAATAACGGAGGGATGAATTAGGACTCTTAATAACAGTTACTGTATTTATTGAATTTGGGTTTAACAGCTACACTTCAAAATAATAAACCTATATTCCTAGCTAGTTAAATGGGGACCACGTATCTCACAACAAATGGGAACTTAAGGATTTACCAAATAGAATACACCCAAATACCTGCCATATCGCCACCACAGACATCCCACACCTCCGTATACAAAATTCCAACACGGACTCTGCTAACCAAACTGCGTCAGCCTACAAAGGACGCCACAACTTTCATGACGTCACCCCTCATAGGCTTTCTCATTGGTCGCAGACAGACCTAAGGCCTTCATACTATTGGCTTAAAGTTGGTGGGATCTCTCAAGTGTCAGGAAACTCATGGCATTGTTACACTGAGTAAAGGCACACCTTCCAGGAAGAAACTTTTACTAAATAAAATACTGTATATCAAAATTATTAATAGTTAAAAAATTCCAAGTTGTCTTTCCTCAGAGCAGTAATGTATACTCGAAGATTGAGTGAGTCTTCACTTGTTACAATACAGTACTGCTTGGCTAATGGGCACTCACTTTTGCCCACGTGTGTTTACTCTTACGGTGCTAACTCTTAATACTTTATATTTGACACACACACACACACACACACACACAGTGCAGATAGTTTTTTAATCAACTGTAGAGTATAATTATTAATGGTATTACAGTAGGCCCTTCAACTTTGTGGGGGTTAGGTTCTCAAAATGGACGTGAGTCGCCAAATCCGCGAATAACTTTGCTGACCAAGGGGGCCGGGTACATTTTTACTTGTGTACAAAGAAATGTATATTCCCTTTATGTGTTTGCCCTAGGGACAATTATCTCTTTTACCTGTATTGTGTGTGTGTGTGTAGACACACACACACAAAACACATGCAAATAAACAATAATGGGAAAATTCTCTCACAAATAATCAGAAACAAATGTATATTAAAAATATTGAGTCTACTCTCAAGTCTACCCCGTGCTTTTATTAATCATTACCCAGAGCCAGAATTTTCTGGGAATGATTTTCCGAGGGGCACATTTTCCGGAGAAATTCCAAGAAAATTTTCCCGGCACCCGGAAAATTACGGGGATGGGGGATTTTTTCCATGTTCGAGATATGATGTAATGGGCAATTTCTGGAACTTCCGAGAAAATTTTTCCATTACCTGGAAAATTCTGGGGATGAGGGATTTTTTCCAGCTTTGAGAGTCGTCTCGTTACCTGGAAATCTCTCATTCCCGGAAGTGCTCTGCACCAATTGTTTCGGCTAACGGAGATATCACTGTAATTACAGAATAGTTAAATACAGTGAAACCTACCGCTAACAGACTACTCGTGTGTTGGATAGAGCAGTCCATGTAACAGACTGTATGACAAAGGATAGTCTGTAATATATGAGACCTCCAATTAATGGATTACAGTACATAATATGAGAGAGGATAATCTGTTGTATGGAGGCATCATTGTAATGCTGTGTAACTTAAAATAAGGTGCTAGACTAACAAAGCCTAATCTGATATGCTGTATATACATACAGTACTATAGATGTGCTATCATAGCCCCAATGATATTTCTGCATTCATATAAAAACCTGTGATCCATATTTGATTTACTGTTACAGTACAATACGCAGATTATTCAATGAGAAGACCGGGCAGGGCAATATAAAATACTGTACTGGTTGGAGCCACATTCAAGCAAAATTGGATTCCTAGGTACATTTTGCATGATATTAAAAATTCTGAAAATACAGTAAATGATCCTTGATATTATAAGTGATGTGCAATATCAACTCAGAGATTGCCATTACACCTGTGCCCTGACAGAGAAACATGTCTCCCATAAACAGCTTTGATCTGTTCCGCACCAAACTGGCCATACACGAAAGTATTTTGTGGAGGAAAGCCAAGAGTCTGCAGGGAGTAGATGCAAGAAATACTCATTGATGGTCCACCACAAACTACAATCTGGAAAAAAATATAAAAGCTTAATGTTGTTTGTTGACAAAGGAAAGTAAATGTCCTATTGTTTCAGAGGGAAAGTTACACAAATGAAATAGTTATTTAAGAGAACTTCCTTCACTAAGGTTATACAGTAAGTCTGCGCTTAATATCAAGGTTAAGTTCCTGAAAATGCGATGTTGCACGAAACAACATTAACCGGATCAATTTTCCCCATAAGAAATTGATAAAATATGGTAGTTATATATATATATATATATATATATATATATATATATATATATATATATATATATATATATATATATATATATATATATATATATATATATATATATATATATATATATATATATATCATGTACAGTAGATCCACAGTTGCCTCTGAAGATGTCTTGAATAAAGAGGAAAGCTAAGGTGCTCCGTTGTTTCCCTTTTCCCGTGTGATTATATCAGTATATATATATGAACACCAGACTTACAAAGGGAATCTCAATATATTCCTCGAAAAAATCTGTAACTAAAATCCCATTTTTTTTTACTATTCAATACTTTATTTTGTTTATCACATTCTTTACAGTATTTACAATATTTGTAATGTATGGGATATTATTGTTATTTTGTATGGGCAGGGTTGTGGTTCAACCTAACCTAATCTATGGAATTAACACTGCTCCGACTAACAAACAGGGTCCAGTAACATAACCTGTTTGTAACACAGGGACTGCCTCTACTGTATATATTTTCTCTCATCATCATCGTAGTTATTTTTTTCTTACCTTGCGTTTCAAGCTATTGTCAGGTTTGCTTATATACTTGTTAAGCATCTGGGTATCTATGAAGCCTTCTTCTCCTTCCCAGCCTTCAGGCACTTCCCCAAGGGTGTACACCACCTGCAGCCTTTCATCTTTACCTGTGAGATATCTCACTAAGTCAAGGCGTGGTGTTAGAGCAATATTCATTAATGGAAACAATGAATACACTGGTTGGGAAGAATCAATATTATATTAATTCTTTCAGCCTGGGTATACAGTAATATCTCCGTTAGCCGGAATCCCTCAAACCCGGAACTCTCCGATAGCCGGAATTGAAATTTTCTCGGAAAATTATGGCAATGAGGGAGTTTTTTTTCGGGTTTGAGAGATGATGCAATGGGCAATTTCTGGAACCTATGAAAAGAAAATTCCGTTACCCAGAAAATTCCAGGAATGAGGGATTTTTTCCGGCTTTGAGAGAGTCGTCTCGTAACCCGGAAATCTCTTCATTCCCAGAAGTGCTCTGCACCAATTGTTCCGGCTAATTGAGATATCACTGTAGTTGCCATTTTATGTAAGAATAATCATCTTAACAAACCTCTGCATCACAGCCATTTGTTATTCTGCCAAATGATGTCTTAAATTAATCTTTAATTTACTTTTTGCTATAGAACCTTCTTTGGGCATCTATATGAAGTGATCCATGAATAAGTATCCTAAAGCTTACAGGATTTTCCCAGTAAATACTTAAGCATTATGAAACTGAAAGTAATTCACAAATCACTAGACTCCTCCCTGACAACCATCATTTAAAAATGTGTCGAACCTTGGTTGGTGTTTCTGTTTTGTCTGAACCTATTCATTTCCAAAATGAGAAACAGGGAGTGAATTTTCTATTAATCTATTGCAAGATATTCTGTGAAGTGTTTAAAAATGTTCTAAGCCAAGCAAAAAAAAAAAAAGGTCTTTTTATATTAGTGCATGGTCCTATCTCTCGGTGTTAGAAATATGCTTTTCCGAATGTTTAGACAATTCTACGGCATTTTTCTTCTATTATATTTTCGTCAGAAATTAAGGATAACCGAGATGTTATTTTCCCAATATTATTATCTTTTGTATGTCACAAGTCGCCCCAGTCCTTGTTTACATCGGCCGAAGAAGCTCTTTCCCCCCTCAGTTTCTGCTCCCGTGTGTTCGTATGTTCTCTTCTTCTTCGTCTACAGCGCATGTGCGGGGGTGGTATGGGAGTTATTATTGGCTAGTGGAAGTAGAGGGTGAAGGTAACGTTATTATTGGGTAGAGCAGGGTGAGAGGAGACTTATTATTGGGTAAGAGCTCTTTGTTTTAGCCAATGAGCAGTGCTTGGGTGTGTCGGGAGGGAAATTTTGAATTTCAGTACCAGATATGGCTGAACAGGTGGAAGAGCTGTGCGGACATTGTCAACGCAATTATTTTACGTCTATTGCCGAGTTCCATCAGAAAAATACGGCGGCCATTGCATTTTTTAGAAAACACAGTGAGTTGTCCGGACTGTAAAAATCAGTGTACTTAACGTCTGATTAGGTTGGTTTTTGGTGAGTTTCTATGTTATTTTTTTACACGGAAAAAGGAGTAGGTTAAGTTAGGTTATATTTCTTTCAGTATTTGAAATGTTTTTTCCTGTGGTTTTTGTTGATTTTTTTTTAAAGATTTTGGCCTTGTTCTCCATTGGAAATCACCTGTTTCTGTGATTTTCCCCCACCCAAAAACTCCCACTTCCCAACAACTAACCTAAGATTGTTGGGGGAGGGAGGGGGGGGGGGGGCGTATTTAAAAAAACGAGTGATTTCTGATGTCAAATTCATTCAAAACTCATCAAAAACCACAGGAAAAACATATTTCTAATACCCAAAGAAAGAACGGTTCACTACTATAAATTGACCTTTTTGTCTGATATGATATACTGTACTGTACCTGTCGTGTGGTTCAATTACAAAATTAAGGGGAGAAGGGTATGGTAGTGTAATGAGGTCAATAATGGTCATGGCATCTGGAAACTGCCCTCTTTTTCCTGAAGACAGCCAAGGGCTATTGTCACTACACTTTGGTTGTACAGTATGTGTATAATGATAATTTTCATATTCATATTTACTTTCTGTACATTCAAGTGCAGTAGAAGTTGTACACCTATAAATCTTATTTTCCACAATATCCTTCATGGTAGAGAAAAGTTTACCACAGAAATTAAATTACAGTTTGTTTTTATGAGTTTTGGCCATGATTTCCACTATTACCCATGGTATTGTATAGTGACGGGTGGAGAAACATAACTATGAACAGTCAAAACAAATACCGGTAGTTAACTTAAATATCGACATTACAATAAAACAAATAACTAACTGGCATATCCATCCAGCTCGGAGCGGTAGAGGATATCTTCATAGGTGTCTGAGAAGTAGAGGAGGGTGAAGCGTGTGGGGTCTGCAGGACTGTTGACTAGACTACGAATTAACTGGAGGGCCGGGGTGACTCCTCCTCCAGAAGCAAGGAGTATTAATTCATCTAACTGGCTGGCCACATACTCGAAACCTCCACAGGGTCCTTGGAATTCCACCTTATCTCCTAGAAAATAAAGTGAAAATTGAGTGAGTTCCTTAGATCGTCAGTGAGAGGAATAGCTTCTTGAGATACCTTAAATACAGACTGAAACCTCCATATAATGGACTTCTATCTCCATATAATTCATTAGATGGGGTTTAACATATAATGGACCCTCTATATAATGACGTTTTTTATCTATATACAGTAGTTCGTCATATGAAGGTTTCACATCTAATAGACTCGATATAACTTACTTTCCTCTCCTTATAGTCCATTAAATAGACGTTTCAATAGTTGATGTGGTAAGTAGGGAACATAAACAAAGACAACCTGTATATGAAAAATGTTATGTACGTGTGGAATATATTTTGAAAAATAGCCTAAAAAACAGATTTATCTTCGTACTGGGGAAATTTGGGGGTCGTTATCATATGCGACATTATTACCGGTAAAAGGTTTTCATCAAGATAGAGAGAGAGAGAGAGATATAATTTCATCACTTCCCCTCATTCTCACCAGGTTGGAGAGCCTTGAAATGATTGGAGATGATGCCTTGTGTCTCGTACCTCAGCACCAACTCGATACGACCATAGTCATTTGGACGGGACACAGGTGAAAAATATCGAAGGTGCTGTTTCCCTTTGTTAGTTATCCGTACCTGTAGGAACAAATGTTTGTGCAGTAGCGGACAAAAGTTGGCACCCCATGCTGAAATTGACTCACGGGAATGAGTCTCCGAACTGACTTACCCTGACTGTCATCTGGTGATGGTGTGTGCTGTTTCATCTCATTTGGGGTTGATATATACTGCTTCAGTTTGGGGGGGGAATGAACTTTTGACCTTGACTCTACAAATCACATGATTGGTATTATGGTCATATAAACTTCAGGTAGGTCATATTACTGTATGAACTTGTATAAATACTTAAATTTAAGGATGCATAAGTGTGTAATATACCTGTACATAGCTTCAACACAGCACCTTTATTTTAAATTGTTTATTAAAAAAGAAATACCCAAATTCTGATTACAGTGTATTAACAAAAATGAAGTTTACAATTTATAACTCTTTTAAAACTATTTTTTTCTTGCTGTGATGCAGAAGGATTGGAATCAAGATTAAAAACAGTACACAAATAAGCTCCTATCATTAATTTATTTGGTATCATTCAATTATCTTCACTGCAATTGATACGTTCTGCTGAGTTACTCCCCCTAAATATCCATTTGGTTAACCCATCAACTCACACATACAAGCATCTCCCAGCACAGTACTCTACCCCCAAAATCATACACTACCATGCTCTTTGATTTCACACACTGCTTCTCTGTGGTAATCCTTCACAAGTAATGCATCCTTACTTGTACCTCCTTGCTTTTTCCTGCTCTACTAGGGTTGATATCTTTTTGCCACTGATAAAGCAATACTTACTGTAACATACTGCCCAGGGAGACAACCAGTGTGGTCTGTAGTATTGGGCAAAGAGAATACAAAGGAAGTCGTCTTATCGCTGATGTCTTCACGTGTCGAGAGGGCAAGTTCTGTCCATGAGTCTGGGTTGAGCGCTGGTTTGTGCAGTATACCATCTGATGTCTTTACTTCCTGTGGTATTGAGAATTCTGTCATAGATTACGAACAAAACCTTTGCTTACTTATAATGATGTACTAATCACTGCACCATCCATCCAGCCTTCAAACATTTTATTTTTCCTCCCACATTCACATACAAATACTGAAGCACACACATATATCTAAGTACATTTGCTTGTGTATGGAAATTCTGTGTGTTTTATACCAGTGTCTATGACTAATAAAATGTTTGTATATGTGTGTGTATATATGTGAATGTAAAACACCTTACAAATGTCCAAACTATATTCAGAGATAGAGAAAGAAGAATAAAAAAAAAATCATATCCTTAACAAACCTCACGGACAACAGCAGGAGGAGCCGTATTAAAGGGGTTATCAAAGTCACTCTCTTGGTAAGGATGTTTGGCAATATTGCCTTCTTGTTCTTGGGCAGCTTCATCAAGCAACCGTTGACCCATCGCTACCTTCTCTTCTGCCGTCATTTTCCTCACTTCTCGGTTTATTATACGCTCATTGGTCGATTCCTCCCTAAAGAGTAAAATAAAATACTATATTTTTACTACTGGTGAACTGTACAAAGGTTAATGGTTTTCAGTTGTATATACAGTGAACCCTCGCTTTACGCAGTTCCACTTTTCGCGTTTCCACGTTTACGCGGTACCCTGCTGAACACGGAATGCTCACTTTCCGCGGTGTGTGTACCCCTTTACGCGGAGAGCGGCTGGCGTCCTCTCGCGCCGCGCCATTTTTGGATCCATCTCTCCCGCCCTCTCCCGCCATCCGCCATGTTGTGTAAGTGGCGCGAGTAGGTTGCGCAGTGTATGTCTTTGTTGCGTTATCGGTCCGTCATATGACGTAGCAGACTGTGAGTGGGCAAAGCATCCTTACCTCCCTCCCTGCTAGCTGTGATTGCTTTAATGTAGTACTATGACGTGCCCCGCCACGGGAGCGTTCAAGCCCCTTGACCCACCGCGTCAGTTACACCCTTCCCGGCTACACCTTGTATATCGGTATCCATTGTTCCATAAGAATGGCTTCCACCGGACCACCACCACCACAAAGAAACCTTGCATTACCTGGACCCAGCCGCCCTAAGCCAAAGAAGACACGACGTTCCTTTAGCTACGAAATAAAATATAAGATCATACAAGAGTTGGAGAAAGGAACAAGACAGGTTGATCTCGCGCGCCAGCATGGTGTTAACGAATCAACTATCAGGACAATTAAGAAGGATGCAGCCAAGATAAAGGAGCACATGAACATCACAAAGTCTACAGGTGCTTCTATGATCAAGTATTTCCACAGCCAGGTGCTTCTCAAGACGGAAACATTACTTGTGAGCGACTTGGTGCGTCAGGCGCGACGGAACATGGCGGTGGACACGCGCTCAGTTGAGGAGTACACACGTGAACTGTATGCTGCAGTGTCACGAAAGATGGGAATTACAGAGCCCAAACCCTTTAATGCTTCCTCTGGGTGGTTACAGAGTTTTAAGAAGAGGAACAAGATCACCAATATCAATATTGGTGGTGAAGAATCTAGTGCTGACCGTGTTGCGGCTAGGGAATTTCCTCCGTTTTTACGTGAGATTATGGAGGAAGGACAGTACACCGACGACCAGGTGTTTAACATGGACGAATCTGGTCTTTTTTGGAAAAAGCTACCTTCCAAGACCTTCGTTGTGAAGAATGCCAGCAAGTGTCGGGGCCGGAAGTTGCAGAAGGAGCGCATCACCGTCCTGTTTACCACCAATGCCTCCGGTACCTGTAAGCTCAAGTTATCGGTGATCCACACAGCACGCAAGCCGCACGCCTACAAGAGCATGGACATGACCAAGCTAAATGTCCACTCTCCTGGTTTGATGACTGTTTCGTTCCCGATGTGAAGAAATTCTTTGAGCAACAGAATGTGCCATTCAAGATTTTGTTGCTGCTTGACAACGCACCAGGACACTCGCCCCTACTGTTAGATCGTCACCCCAATGTAAAAGTGGTCTTCCTTCATCCCAACACTACGTCTATAATACAGCCCATGGACCAAGAATTGATCTGTAATGTAAAAGCTGCATTCTCTGCTAAAAAATTCAACCTCCTGAACGACTACACCAACACCAAGGAAGAGTTGCGTAACCTGAGTGACACCAACACCGATAGCAAGAGCGAAGACGACGAGGATCAACAGTTGGCAGAGCAAGAAGTACTTTTGAAACAATTCTGGAGAACATTCAACGTCAAGAAAGCTGTGGACTTCTTGGTGGAGGCATGGGATCAGCTGTCTGTAGCATCTGTTCGTCACGCGTGGAGACATGTGTTGTAAGGCATTCCGGGTGTTAGGCAGAGTAAATCTGTGACTGGTGAGGTTCAGACTGTTGCAGTATCAGTGGACCTTGCCAGAGAAGCTGCGCAGAGTGTTACAGCTGCAGGCTTCTCCGAGACCACCAACGACGACATCCTGGAGGTGATGAGGGATCCTGATGTGACTACCGACGAGATGGTAGATGATGATGACGTCAGTGAAGAGGCAGGTGGTGCGTCATCCCAAGAAGAACGCTGCTTATCCCATAGTAATGTAAGGGGTGCCATCGAGTGTATTGAGAATGTCAAGCTCCTCCTTTCCGACGACCCTGACGCTAACAGGTATGAAATCTTCACTACCCAGCTGTTGCAGACTATGGAGCCCTACATCAAGGTTTATCACGACAACATAAACACCAGCCTTCAGCAAAGCATAACAGAGTTCTTCGCCCGCAACCCACCACAGCCAGCCCAAGCCAGTGATAGTGACAGAGGCAGAGACAGTGATGATGACTTTGAGGGATTTGTCAGGGAGGCACAAGTAAGTGAGGATGTCACCGAAGAAGACTCACCTGAGGGCCAGTAGCCTGCCCTCTGCCTCGGAACCAGCCTCCATTCCCCTACGCCGACCCATCTCTTCTACTAACGTAAGTGTTAACCCCAACCTTGTTTTTTTCTAACCTAACCTTCAGTTTATTATTCTCTTATTGATTGTTCCCTTCTATATTATGTGTGTGTGAATACCATCATAAAGTTAAGATGTTATTTTTAGTAAAACGTACGTATTGTGTCGGGGAAAAAGTGGAGTTTGGGGGTCGGCCCAGTCTCTATTTCAATTAATCCCATATGTTATGTTGTTCACTTTACTCGTTTCTCACTTTACGAGGGCCGCCGTGGGTTCAATTAACCGCGTAAAGTGAGGGTTCACTGTACAGTATTGTATTTAATGTACTAACTCTTGCATGTTACATATAGTTTACAAACTTCAAAACAAACTCTAAACAATAAAAGTACAGCATATCTGTTGACACTTTTATCTCCACAAATGTACTATACGTAGATGGTTTACTTTGGCACTACATCTAAATGCATACAAACAAAGATACTGTACCAGTCAAATATCTTAGTGTCTTGTCACATTCTAAAATGGCAAAGAAAAAATATGAAGAGGATGACAAATTGATAGCCATTTAATGTCCCCCTCATTCTTGATACGCTTGTCCTACACAGGTACTGTACAGTGTTAGTGCCAGAAGAAATTGATTTACATTGAGAAAGCTTGCAACGATTGGTATAGTTAATCTGGACAACACCTTCCTCATGTGCCCTAGGATTGAACCTGGGTCACATTGGTAAGATGCCAGCACACTATTGCTCTACCACTAGCATCGGTTAAAAACTAGTACTGTACTATATAGTATTCCCTTTTCTCAACCATGACATGCTTTAGCAATAGCCAGGGCAAGTAGTGGGTACAGTATTTGATTATGGGTAAACTAACGACACTAATATAAAAGGTTACAAATTAGAGATGTACTGTAGGTGATACAGCAGGTACTTAACTTATCCACATCACTGGGAATTCAATATACAGTACAGTATTACCCCGCTTTACGCATTTTTTTTTTACGCGTTTCCACGTTTACGCGGTACCCTGCCAGACCCGGAATGCTCACTTTACGCGGTGCATGTACTCTTTTACGCGGAGAGCGGCGCGGGCAGGGTGCGCACAAGGTCGCCCAGTCATCAAAACATTACTGAGTTCTTCACCCGCCACCCACCACAGCCGGCCCAAGTCAGTGATAGTGAGGATATGGACTTATATGGAATTTGAGGGGTTTGACAAAGAGGCCCTGCAAGCCTCTGTGGTGGATAGTGATACAATTGATACAAGTGATACAGGTGAGGGCCAATAATCCGCCCTCTGCCTCGGAACCAACCCCCCATCCCCGTGTGTCCAGCCATCTTTTCTACTGATGTAAGTGTTAAAAAACCTAATATTATTGATATTTCTCTTAATTATTAATTGTGTGTGCATACCATCATAAAATTAAGAAGTTATTTTTACTACAACGTAGGTATTGTGTCTGAAAAAGTGGAGTTTGATGGTCGGCCCGGTCTCTATTTCAATTAATCCCATATGTTATGTTGTTCACTTTACGCGTTTCTCGCTTTACGCGGGCCGCCGTGGGTTCAATTGACCGCGTAAAGCGAGGGTTCACTGTACAGTATATCTTAAAAACTTTATACTGTAGATTTCTCAACTGGGCCTGGAAACTTACTGTCTACAAAACAAATACTGTATATGGTTGTAGAATGTAAAGCTGACTTACCATAAATCTATAGACGTAAAACCAGTGAGGGCAGCGACCCCTACCAGGTTCCGAAGAACTTCATTTGATGGGGCCATAATGCATCCAGCTTTTCCATCCCGAAAGAGACGTTCCAATCCAAGATTAGTCTGTTGAGTGACTTAAGTTAAAGGGAGGAGAAATACTGGGTTTAGAAGTTCTATTGTACTAATATACAAGTACTTAGCTGAAAATTATATGGGGCTGGTATACAGTACAGTACAGTAAAACCCTGTCCAACATGGGTACCTCTAAAATATGGAATTTATTATCTGCTCTGGGTCTCAAATTGGCATGCACCTGATCCCACAACATGTATGGTGTTTGCATGTTAGCTACCTACACTCCCACTGCTACCTACACACCTACTGTTACTTACACAGTGCCAAAATATTTATCAATTACTGTACCTTATAGCCAGAACCGCCGCAGGCATATAGCATCTTCTCAGTTACTGCACCAACATTCTTTGCTGCAACAAATTTGAGTTGCCATAACCAGTGAATACAACCAGTCCTGTGTGCATCAAAATGGAATATTTATACTATTAGAATGATGCTAATTTCTGACGTTACACTGTCAATCTATATGCAGGGGGTCCCTGGGTTACGAACGTGTTCCGTTCATGAGGACATTCTTAAGTAAAAAATGTACGTACAGTACTATAAGTCGGAACACATGCTATGTGCATACCGTACTTACAGAACAATGTTTGAAATTCCACTGCAGTATATCATAGCTTAAATCCTTATTTACATCCAAAATTACTTATTCATGAGAAAAGAAGAAATAGAATGGCAAAATACAGTAAATGAAAGTAAAAAATAAATTATCAGGTAAATAAAATACTGTACTGTAAATTTAAAGTTTAACCTCGTTCGTTTCGGTGGGTGTTCATAAGTCAGGGACCCCTGTATACAGGTGCAGGTACACTCACTCCAGAAGGTATCTTTATGGAGGGGTCGATGAATTTCAAAATGAACACCGCGACTCCTGTTGTCTCGGTAGGGTTGTCAAAATCCTTCGTCCATTGTGTCATATTGTCTCACACAAAATTGTAAAGATACTTTTTGGTGCAAGTGTACATGCTAAGGGATATCTTTAACAAGGCTTTAAGCAAATAATATATTAATTAAAGTCATTGGATAGTATAGGTACAGAAATAATCAAGAAGTCATTTACATCTTTTTAACATGAATTATATATTTTTCTTGAAGGTACCAAATCAAAAACAAAAAATATATTGTGAAGAAGTAAATTTAAATCTATAGAAGTGAGACATTACCTCACAGGTTAAACTAAGACATATCTGATTGTGTAGGTGGCAGGCTGCACTACTCTAATGGTTCAGTCAGTGTGATAACTGTATGAATGTTCTCCGTCCCATCAAACAGGGTAAAATTAATGCTTTTAACTCCACGCTCAATGGTTCTTCAAATACCAGCAAGGCTTCATGTCCTTACCCTAATGGTCACTTCATCTATGAGATTCCAATCAGGTAGTAAACAAGATAAAGATGCTTGTGTGTTTTATGAACCAACCAAAAATCATTCCAGCTACAGAGTACAGACTTGAAAAACAAAAACGAACATTTTAAAGGACAGTGCAACCCAATGCCACATAGTCCAGAATTGTCAAAGACCAAACTCCCTGATCAAAACAAATGAGAAATGTTTCCTAAAAAATGGGACTTTAAGATCATATAATAATATGAAAGAGGACTGCATATAACAAAAATAATTAATCAAGTGTAAAAACAGCACTCATCACCTCAAGATAATTAAAACTGTAGAAGAGAGCTGGCTGAGAGGTGTGGTGTCATCAGGTAAAATGTTTTTAGCTTCTTAGGGTTCCATGATGCAAGTGAATGAACCAGTTGGGTTAATCCTGTGAACCTGAAACACTGACTGGGTTTTAAAGGAAACACTGGGCTGGGAATTCAGAGCTGTGATTAGACCCTTGTTGTATGGAGGAGGAGAAATCATATTGTACTGGTACAGTGATCAGTAAGAGTAGAGAAGTGCAACCACCTGCTAGACAGTCCAAGCCTTCTGGCCATAGTGACTTAGTGTGTTCTAGTAGGTCATATCTTAAATATTATGAAAAGATATAGTCACCCAAAGAACTATTTTTACTTGTGGTGGGGGGGGGTGAATTTAAGAATAAACACTGTGACTCCCGTTGTTTTGGTAGGGTTGTCAAAATCCATCATCCTTTGCATCATATTTTCTGAAAACTATTTTGCAAAGATGGTTTTTCAGCAACTGTAAAGTACAACAGTATGCAGAAAAATATTGAGAACTCAGCATTCACCTACCTTGGTAATTGGTCAAAATCTGAATGAATACTCCAGTCACCATTTTTGGTGACTGTATCCAGTGACTGTGCTAATAGGAATGTCATGGACCTTGAGCTGTTGGTTTCAATAATTGATTCTCCTATATAGTCCTGCAAAGAAAAAAAATCAACTGGTGCAAGAATTTCATCCACACAAGTTTCCTCAATATTTAGGTAGAAAGTCCTCCCGTAGAGTATGTAGCACAGTACAGGTACTCCTCGACTTACGACCCACCCGGACATACGACCGCCTCAGTCGTACCAAAATTTTGTCAAATTATGTATTTTCGAGTCCCGACGTTAGTGATTGCACTGTGTACTGACAAAATTTTCTTTTGTAATTCCCTTTAAAATGGCTGGCAAGCTTAAAAGTGAGAGTTTTGTGGTGCTGAGAAGAAAAAGAGACACCCATTTTAGATTTTCTATGTATTATTTAAGCATTTTCGACTTACGACCTGGATTTGGGTCCCCAACCCTGTCGTAAGTCGGGGACTGCCTGTCCTGTATAAATGATACATCAAGTACCTTAACACATAGGAATAACACTAGGAAAAGCATCACCAGATTAAACTAATGAACAATATCTTGCAATAACTCTGCCTCACCTGAATGCAAGGGTAGTCACACACACGCATGCCTACATCAGCATGAGCCTGATGAGTAACATGTTTCTTGGCAAGATCTATACAGCCAAGGGCAATGCCATTCCAGCAGGAGGATGTGAGCAGGAGGAAAAAGGTGTCAATACATTCCTCCATAATCTGTAGAGAGACAAAGTCAGTGAATGAAACTTCACAATAAAGGTGTAACAGAGACGTGGCCAACCGCCCAAGCGGCTAACAAGCAAATCAGTGGTGAAGAGGATAAAAGTAAAAAGTAAAAGTTAAGTAAAACGCATTACAATTACAACTGAGAAAAGCAAAACTACCTGATAATCAATATACAGTATAATAGTTTAGCAAAACAAACTTAGATGGTGAATTGTTTCAAATTCATGTACAAAGATTTATTGATATCTTTGATAAACACTTGAGAAGCAATGATTATTTTGTTATAACCTCATGTTTTCTCTTATCTCCATATTTGTCAATTCAGTACTGTATATTGAGGTGAGTTCTGGCCCCATGTCAAAGTTGGTGTGAAAATTTGGAGATTCGGGGAAATTTTGGCAGAGGCAGAGTCTTTAGTGTGTCAAATTATCAAGGGTATACGGGGCAATTTTAAATCCCTAACCAGTATTATTTGATTTTCCACAAATGAATTTTATTTTTCAAAAATATTCTGTCTTTACTCATCCTTCAACAGTGACCTCCACCATCATCATCAGAATCACCATCAGATAATAATGAAATATATCTCACTTACCTTTTTTCCATCATAAGGAGACCCTATCATCCTCTCAAGGTCAAACTTGCCTTCCACCACTATTGGACCAGATTGATTGCCGTGCATCCCAAGAGCGCTCCAGTTATCGGTCGATGCTCGGATCTCATCCTACGGAAGGAAATTTTAAAAGTGTTTAACAATTGGAAGATAAACATACAGGCAACTCATGGACCAACATGGGTTAAGAGTGGTAGCATATACAATTGTTTTTATTAAATATTTGTATTTACAGTTACAGTAGTGTGAGTGTGTCCATCCCTGTGTAATGCTGTAGACTGAAAACATCGTCCTATTGAGTGGTGATTTCAAAAGAACATGTTTTAAGAATTAAAACTGAATGAGCTACAGACAGCCTTCAGTACTCAGACAAACATGAGAAGATGTTTCTGCAAATGCTGCATCAGTCCCAGTTAAACTACAGTACAGTACAGGGCACCTCCATACTGGCCAACAGAACCTACCATGTGGTTCAAGCAGCTGGAGGCTACATTCATCAACTGATCAATTATTGTACAAAACATCTCACCAAAGTCAATCATGCACTTGCTGCCTTTCAGTCATCAAGCATCAGTATTATTCAAGATGTCACAGTAATTAATCTGTGACGGGTCAACCGGTATGATCTGTTCAAGAAGACTTTGACTGAAAGGAAAATGCCTTCAACAAGTTAGCAGATAGATCAGGCTATGGCATTGTGTTAGTCTTGAGTACCAGAAATTAATAATGTATACATTATGGCTCACCTGGTAAGAAACAAACATAGAGAGATTGGAATAATTCCCATTATACTCTGGACTGACAGTCATGATGGTGTAGAAGTCAGCAAATCCTGCACTTGTTGTCCATGAACCAAACTTGAGCATCTGTATGGTTCGTTTATCTAGATATTTTACCTTTGAGGACAGCGGGAACCAATCGTGTCCACCTGAGGGATAATGTCATCAATGTAAGGAAAGAGAAAGTGCCAGCAGTAACTTGGTTCACTGGATAACTCAACATATCAGGAGACATGCATTCTATCATACAATCAGGCAGTATTGATACATATTGTTGTCTAAAATGTGCACTGCCTGTTATTCTATTGTACCAAGGCCTTAGATTGGTTGTCCTTTACCTTACAAAATTGTGGGAATCATGGTAGTTTGTTAAATGTTAAAAATAAGTTACCTAAGCATAATCTCTATTATTATAAAACATTAAAAGATCTAAATTTCATAGAATAAAGTACAGTAATGTTTTATGAAAATTGGCAACATATAAGACAGTTTACTAAATTACCTAAGTTTCATTGAATAAAGTACAAGAATACTTTAAGAAAATTGGCAACATATAAGACATCAGTTGTTATTATTTATACGTAAAGTCTGCAGTTCATCAGCAGTAGGTTGTGACACTCACCTGTGGCCGGATCAGAGGCACTCACAGCACCTAGGAGCTTCTCCTGGGTGATACGGGTGAGGAGCTGCTGCAGGTGTGGGTTGTTGTGGTAGCGGAATAGTATAACTGAACAAGAGGCCAGGTGCATAGCTGTGAGGGGGAGAGGTGGAATTATCACTTTATCAGTTTAAGAAGTTATATAAGATAAATTTACAAAAACATTTATACGTATTTCAATTGATGATGGTGTCTACAATAACTCTTTGTGGACTTGATGTCAAGTTCTGGCTGAATGTCAGGTAAAAGGCTGTAAAGCCAACAAGAAAAAGAATACAATCTTGAGCTATTTCTTGATTTTGAATTGGGAAAATATCCAGAAAGGAAATAAATGTGAACTTAATGGCTACACAAAGCAGTACTGAAACTAGGTGAACTCGGTCTATAATGTATTTGATAGCTGAGAACTGGAATAAAAACATGAATATGATTACTGTTTTATTAGAAATGGGGAGGAAAGTTGATTTTTTCTCTTTAACTCTTCCTCATCACTCACTGGGCCAAAACAGAGAGACTACAGTACAGGTAACTAACTTAATAATCTAAAAAATTATAAAATAAATCACTAGTTAGCTTGCAAGATTAGGTTCACAGGAAAGTAAAGATGAAAAATATTGACAACACTTACTGTAAATCATAGCAGTAGAAGGGCAGCCATAGCGAGCAAGAGTCTCTACCACCATGGCGGCACAAATATGGTTCTCACCAAGGCCACCAAACTCCTTCGGGATGATGAGACCCATCAAACCTAGCTCAGCCAGGTCTTCTACGGACTGTCTTGGGAACTGGTAATTGCGATCACACTGAATCTACAATAAAAAAAAAAAAAATAGAAACAAATGATTAAAAAAAATGAATGAATCTTAATTAAGAAAAATAGATTGAGAGGTTATGGTAGGATGAGAAGTACCATAAGGCAGAGAGAGGGCATGAGTGAAAAGAATTGATTAATATTGTAATGATTCCAGAACCATTTATGACTTCTCCATTGCAAGCCACTGAACCTTGAATGCAGGATGATTTGGTCTTGGGTCAAACCTACCTGGACTTACCATAACCTACCACAACTTGCACTAATCTACCTTATATTAAGCTAAGCTGACCGAGGCTAAAATGCTACTGAACAGAATTGAACAGATGCTTACTGCATGTGGACGGATCTTTGTCCGACACACGTCCATCAAGTCTGCCCGGAGTTGCTTCTGCTGGTCTGTCAGCAGCCAGTCGGGATCAAACTCAGATCCTAAGCCCCAGAACTCCTTGTTGCCCCATGTCTTCATCTGTAATATTAACGTCCACATAAATTACAAAAAAATATATATTTTAAAGTATTAACTGACCACAACTTTTTGCTTCTCTTTTTAGTCATAGTCTTACAAAATATTGTGAACTATATATTAATCCAATAAACATTTGGATGAAAAATTAACCATCATAGGAGGCTATGTGAAGAATGAAAGTGGAACCCCCAGGCCTAACTTATCTTTAGGAGTAGTTCTGATACAGTACATTGTATACTAAGTTGAAAATATACAAGGAGGCAGTATTGCTGGCACTACACCCAACCATCTTTACTTCCATAATTGTAAAGACATATACAGTACTCGGGTTGAGCTTGAAACAGTGACCCTTAGGAATATGATTATATTCACTGGTCACCGAATCCCTAGCATTGATACAGATGCCCCACCCAGGTCACAATGGTGGTATTTACAAAAAATTTTTGGTATCAACCTCATCTTCGATATAAATAAAACAGGGTGATTCACTCACTGGTAGCCCTTGAGTTTCACTTATACTGTATAATTGTTACGTGTATTTATGAACTGTACTCTCCCCCCTCCCAGATTTCTCTGCCATGTATTAATACAGGATACACATGTTGATAAAAGCCCCACCAGGGGGGGGGGGGGAGAAATTAGACGAGAGCTAAATCAAACCATTAGGTGTATCGTAGGTATTCCTTGTTCATAAGGCTTGTACTATCTTAGGACTTCTCTGGCATTAAGAAGCCTATGGAGCTGTTGATAGGATTAAGTATACCCAAGGTACAGTATTTTGATAACATATCTTTAGGTTTATTTCGCTGTACTCAAGACAGAGGTGTAGTATAGTAAAAGCTTTGTTCACTGGGCTGGCGAGAAGATCAGTGTAAGAATAAGTGAGATATATCGTACCATGTATAGTGTGTGCTGTATACATATTATAGTACTGTACTGTAGTTGTTTTGTGTAACGGTTAAGATGGCTGTTGTATAGAGTGCATTTATGAGGAATTCAAAATCATACAAACATAAGACATAAAAGAATCATGAATTTGGGCCATGCAGAGAATGAGAGGAGAGTTTGTCCAATCGCCAGGCCTTCACTTTTTTTTTTTTTTACGGGAATTAGCCCACCCGGACACAGGTCACTGACCCACATCGGGGCCTGGGGGGGGGAAATGAAATAATAATAATAATAATAATAATAATAATAATAATAATAATAATAATAATAATAATAATAATAATAATAATAATAATAATAATAATAATAATAATAATAATAATAATAATAATAATAAATAATAATAATTCATAGTAAATAAAAAATTTAATATAAAATAATAATGATAATAATACCTGTAATAATAATAATAATAATAATAATAATAATTATAATAATAATAATAATAATAATAATAATAATAATAATAATAATAATAATAATAATGAACCATAAATACAAAAATGTAAAAAAGATCAAAAGTGAGAAACAATATACAGCATGTATGTTGTGTTTTCAATAGTATGAAAAATAATTGTAACCCTGCAATTGTGTATAAATGAGACAGAAAGTTAGATCAGCAACCTGGGACTTGGTCACATGGCAGCAGGGTCTACCATTAGACAATACATTATGCTTCCAATATCTTCCCAGGCGGTAGTACCTCCCTGTTTGGTACTACCCACTCAGTCCTACTGCCACCGGGTACTAAGTGGTGGTAGTAATTACTGCATCTGACTGTACATGGGAGAACAAGGAGCATCTTACGGTATGTGAGTAACTTGATCCATGTAACAGTGTCTGGGACCAGCTGTTCCAAAGGCGACACAACAGCTTTTCTGTGTTGTTGTTTGTCCATTTAAAGTCATAGTACTGGGATCATTCATTGCCTTTTAAATCAATCTACTGGGTTACGTTGTTTTAAAACGTATGTCGTTCTATTAATATTTTGTCCCGTATGGGGATTTGTGGTATATTGGCATGATTTCGTTGTTGATAAGGTGTAGGTGGGGTCTGCCCATATCATCAACCCGTTTCGTTACCACTATTTTTACCCGTTTCGTAACCACTGCTTTACCCGTTTCGTCACCGCGTTCATTCCCAATATATACACGAAAATAACTGTTGCTTGGGATAGAAAATAATCAAAACTCTAAGACAAATTATTAAAGACAAAAATAAAAATAAAAACATTGTAATACGCCTGCAATCATCTCGCTGCTCGGTGGTTTACGCGCTGGTGCCAAATCACCTTCAATGTTCTGTATTTTGTTTATTTACCAATGTGAATCGTTTTACTTTATTAAACAATTAATATTCATGTAAAGTAATAACACAATAATTCCTCATTTGTTGTTTACAAAATTGTATTTCGAAATTATGCCTCGGCATAACAATACATTGAATCATGCAATATCTCACTAAGACAATTTATTAAAGACGAAAACGAAACAAAAATAAAAAAATGTTAATACGCCGCCTGCAATCATAAAACTTAAACAATGTGTGAACTAAAATTTACTCGTGTAAGCTTGGCAGAAGACAATGACAATATTTTTTAGGAAGTTAGAACTTAGAAGAGCATATTCATCCCACAGCTCCCAGAGATGAACTTGTTTGTCATGATTTGCTTTTCTTGTGCACGATTTTAGCTTGTGCTCAGACTGGATAAGCATAAGCAGTTTCAGGTACATTCAGGAGCCTGTACTAGCCCAGTACTAGCCAGCAGTGCGTAACAGAGACGTGACTGATCGCCCAAGCGGCTAACGAGCCGATCAGTGGTGAAGAGGATAAAAGTGTATACACGAAAATATCTGTTGCTTTGGATAGAAAAAACAATAAGACAATTTATTAAAGACGAAAATAAAAATATAAAATACATTGTTAATACGCCTGCAATCATCTCGCTGCTCGGTGGTTTACGCGCTGGTGCCAAATCACCTACATTTGTTCTGTATTTTGTATATTTACCAATGTTTTACTCGTTTTCTTTGCTAAACAATTAATATTCATGTATAGTAATACTTCTTGCGTCGTCTGTATACATGTGTAATTTCTATTTGTGTAAAATAATAACTTACAATTTGTCACTAATACCAGAAATTGTTAGTGGTGACGAAACGGATTTGATATTGGTGATGAAATGGGGTTTTAGTGACTAACCGGGTCGGTGACGAAGCGGGGTGTATCCTGGGTAGGTAAGATAGATGCCAGGGTCTGAAAAACGATCCTCGACAATACTCATTACTGCCAACCAGAGACTAATAATCATAACAATTAAAGTAGATTTCTAAATTACAGAAAGGCAGGATTCTTATTCAATTTCCTTCCGTTTTTATTTTATTTCTTTAGTGATATGTTCCCCGCCCACAAGTGTCAGCGTCTAGGATGTTCAATAGATTTTTAGTTGTGGTTGTCCCGTTGAAGTAACGGAGGGGGGTGTTGTCTGAGGGGCAGAAAATGTGTTGCAAAAAAGTTACTTCACGGCTCCTTATGATTCTACGATGGCAAAAAGGAAATTTATGAAGATTTTTGAACGGATAAAATTATGAAGTTATTTTCTATAAAACAAGTGGGTGTATAATGACAGACTTCTATTTCATAATGCAAATACAGTATCGTCCCTTAAATAGTCATTAAAATGTAAGTTGAGGCGTAGCAAAGTCCATTGAGGGTTAACTGGCTGCTGTAGATGTGTCAGCCTTTTTTTTTATTGGGCACTCCCCTATATCCTTGTGTAAGGTGAAGCGCAGAAGCGTTTACAGTGCCCAACAGGGAAGCATGCTAAGTTCATGCTTGCCTTTATGTCTCATGAGTTAAGGGCGTAGAAGCCTGAAGAGTCAAGGGCGTAGAAGCCTGAAGAGTCAGTGGTTTATGTCATCAAGTTATTGGAAGCTCCAACAACTCCCTGAATACGAATTCGCAACTTTCGACTTACAACAGGTACCTACATTACTGCTAGGTGAACAGGGACTAATGGGGGCTCTTCAGTTGATAGCTGCCTAGTAACACACATACAGTGTATCCTCACCACCGGATCATCTTATCTTATTGTTACATGCATCACGAAGGATATAGTCTTTAATTTGCTTACCTTGCCTCAGTGAGAGATGTGTGGTGAGTTGGTAGCGGAGGTAACGTCTTGTGGTGGTGTTAGGCTTAACTGACTGGCAGTAGTGTGGGAAGGCGAATTATCTTGCCCAGCTCAAGGAGTCAAGGTCAGAGAGGTGCCCGGTTTCGGCTATAGCCACGCCCACTTCCCACTCTATGGTTAGTGGGAGTCAAGGGATATTTCATTCGATAGTTTTTCTAAAGGATGAAATGAAAAAAAAAGAAAGGGCGCATAAACTCCAAATATTTTCGGTTAGTTTGAGTTAGGACATAACTAAGCCGATCTATGCTATCACGGTCAAGGGGATGCGAGGCGAGAAATACGTGGTGTCAGGGCCGTCCCTAGGAGGGTCAACTCAGCCACTGCGGGGCCCCACCAACCCCCATGGGACTGTTGCTATGGATGGTAAGGTCACGGTTACGATGGTGACGTAAGCCGTCAGGTCCGATTAACCAGTGAACAGGTAATGTGTCCGAGGTCACTGAGTCTAGTGCTGGGCCCCGGGCGGTCGCCCCTGTTCGCCCCCCCCCCCCTAAAGGACGGGCCTGCGTGGTATTTAATAGGCCTATATTAATTCACCACTCGTCAGCTTACTGGCCGTTCTGGCGGGTAGTCTTGTGAACTATATTGTGCAGTGTTAATACAGGAGGAAAACGGAGATGTTTAGTAGGGTCATTGAGAAAAATTTACTCCCATGAAAAGTGAAAATCTGATAAAAAACAATGTAGTGGGAGAGAATGAGAATGGTCAGGAAGATGAAAGGATTGGGTGAAACGTTTAGGCGTGTGTGAATGAGTGGATAAGCATAGCAGAGTTAGTGGGGAAAGATGTGTGAAGGGTGAAGTTGGTTTGTGAAACGTTAGGGAGTAAACCAAATAGATATTTAGTGAGCTAAGTGGTGAAAATTATGAATGTAAAGAAGGTTGTCAGAGGCTAGTGATGAGGTCTAAAATCAAAATACACTGCCTGTGATTTGCCTAACGCCAGGTCCACTTAGAGGTGACCATGACAGGGGTATATTGGAGGTAGATGGTCTAAGCAAGTTTCATTCTCCTTGTTAATGAGTCTTGCCTCTTTTGAAACCCAGTGTATATTTTTCTTGCTGCATTTTCTTGTCATTTTACATTTGAGATTATTACATGACAATTTATGTCTATCACAATGTATTCAGTTATTTGGTCTTTGTGACACTATCTTTCTCTAAATAAGTTCCGTTAATGTGGTGACAGTAGCCAAGTTAGTACGAAAAAAACCCCTTGTGAAATTTGGGAGTACTGACTATGAACCCCAGTGCATGTTATCAACTTTATTTTAATTAGACCTATACAGTATACTATAAATAATTATTGTAGTGACCAGAGATTGACTACCAGAGAAATATTCTCAGGAGTTCCATGTAAGAGTCATCATCGAGACGTCTGATATTTATGGGGCGCCGTATCTGGAGGAGGGAGCCTTGCGGGACTCAGCTTCGTCCTCAAGTCGCGCCTTCTCGATCTGGTCGAGCACGAACTGGGGGATCTCGTGAGGGAACTCAGGTGCCACCGGCAGGAAGCTGGACTGGGGCTGGAAGCCGTTCTCGTCAGCCACGAAGGTCATCTCGAACTGCTGTCCGTCGGGGAGGGTGAAGCTGCGAGAGACACGGGTAGTGAGAAGAAGGGCTGGGGCGGTGCCACTTGTTCACACTAATGTGGTTTTGTCGACACAAAGTACACTAACAAACTTCAATACTTACGAGACTGATCCGCTCTGAGCGACGGCGCCTTCAGCAGAGCCTTCCTTGATGGTAGCACCTGACTCCTGGCGAGTGATGCCGTCCTCAGTCTCCACCTGGAAGTTGTAGTAGGAGGCGTCGTCGGCTATGTGGCGTTCGTCAACCAGAATTTTGGGCGTCTCTGCTGAGTGTTGATCATAGACAGGTGAGGCCAGGGCCACAGCGGCCACGCAGGTGAGAACGATCTACCGGAAAATAAATAGAATTAAATAAAATTACGTGTATTAGGAGTCTATTGGTCATATTATATACCATATGTAAGAAATATCAAGGCATCATTGTGAGTGGAAACAAGAGCCAGGAACTCACAAGCTTCATGGTGGTGAGTGAGTATGTGTGTGTGTGCAGGAGGAGCCGTCAAAGCCGTTATATACCACCAGGAGAGGGCGATTGTACAAAAATGGGTGATGCCCCCACGGTCATGGTCACCACCACAGCTGTCATTTCTTGGGTACGCCCGCCCTCCTTCCCTTCCCCGCTGATAGAACATTTTGGTGCTTTTGTCTGTAACTACTGTATAGTGACAATCAGGTTACCCTAACTACTGACATTGTATTATTAAGACTGTGTGTGTGTGTGTGTGTGTGTGTGTATGCAACAAGGTGAAGGGGTCGTGAGCTGCCGGTCCTTTGTAAGTTGATGGAGTGAAATTTGGATCAGTGAAAGTTGAATAAAAGCTGTAGTGACAACACGATAGAGTTCATTAACGCACACACACACACACACACACACACACTCTAACTCCATCATCAACAGGTTTAAGCAAGTTTCGTTGCTTACCGACATGGGTGTTTCCCGAACAGCCCACCAGTGACTCCATCAAGAGTTCTCTGTTGGGTCACTTAATGGGTCGTCGGTGCTGCTGATGACAACTGTGGGATGAAGAACGTTATGCGCATGTGCACGGATGGCTTTGTGTGATGGTTATAGGTGTCTGTTGGTTCTAATTATTTAAATATATTCTTAAATTACCTAAATTCCAAGCAGGAGAAAAATGGTAACCTGTCCTTTCTTAATACTGTATACTGTTAGTTCACTCTACTGTATACAGGTAACTAAGCTTCCTATACAGCTAACCAAGCTTCATATACAGGCAGTTAAGCTTCATATACAGATAACCAAACTCATATACAAGTAACCAAGTTTCACATACAGGTAACCAAGCTTCATATACAGGTAACCAAGCTTCATATACAGGCAGTTAAGTTTCACATACAGGTAACCAAGCTTCATATACAGGTAACCAAGCTTCATTTACAGGTAGCTAAGATCCATATACAAGTAACCAAGCTTCATATACAGGTAACCAAGCTTCATATACAGGTAACCAAGCTTCATATACAAGTAACCAAGCTTCACATACAGGTAACCAAGCTTCACATTCAGGTAACCAAGCTTCATATACGTTGATCAGTAAGACCCCGGTGCTTCATGGTAAAGTCAGCAACACACTACCATTACATCTAACATTGTAGTAATTCACTCGCGCCCTCATACTACATGGGACATCATATTCATAGCTTGTTTGTACTGTCACGATGGTGCGTCTACCAAACAGTGAGCCGACCAGCACGAGGTATAAGTATTCTTTCTCTAAATACTTATAGTTGTTGAAATGTGAACTAAAATGAGAAGAAGAGATGTTTAGATTTTACGAAACTTTTCTTCTCAAAATTTTGTCCTGGGAGGCGGCGTCACGTAAACTGTGCAACCTTTAGTTTCAGTCCGCACTGGCGTATGGCGGTCTGGCACGGGAAGTGGTCCCGGGACGCTAACGTACAGTCCTGCTCCAGTCAAAATATCTTTCTATGGATCGTCACTTGAGTGTGAGCGGACTTTGTCTTGACCGCGACTGCAAGTATGGACGCTCCCATTAACATGCCCGTAATTATATTTGACTGGACTGTGAATGGAGCGTGACGACCGTGACCGTCCCGAAGTGTGAATAGAGCCTTACAGTTTTTCACTTGTGTTTTTCCTGGAATTCATTGTTTAATTGCATTTTCAGTCTAAACAACCTTTTTTTTTTAAGAATATTCATGTATTTTATATCAAGAGTGTTTATTGACTGAGTGTTGTATGAAATTAAGAGTGCATAATTGGGGTAAAAATGTACAGTATCTTGTTCAATATCCTTGGTGAAAGCGAAAGTGTTCCACCTGACAGTAATCTTTAAAAGAACCAGAGGACGTTAACATCTAAACCCTGGACAGTAATATCCGCCGGAACCTTTTTTTATATAATTTGTTGGTAATTTGTCCTTTTTAAACACCAGTTACCGATATTCCGATATTTTCAACTCTGTATAACTACAGTACACGGCATGTTGGAAAATCTCAAGTATATTTGCATTTTATTGTTAAATAAATACATATGTACAGAACATAATGGTCAGCCAGGTAGACGACACTAGTATGAGCAGGAGTCAACTGCTCCCACAGTGATGTTAAACTGACTGAGGTGACAAGAGGCGGTGAGCAAAGTGAGGAGACTTATGGGGCGCCGTATTTGGAGGAGGGACCCTTGCGGGACTCAGCTTCGTCCTCAAGTCGCGCCTTCTCGATCTGGTCGAGCACGAACTGGGGGATCTCGTGAGGGAACTCAGGTGCCACCGGCAGGAAGCTGGACTGGGGCTGGAAGCCGTTCTCGTCAGCCACGAAGGTCATCTCGAACTGCTGTCCGTCGGGGAGGGTGAAGCTGCGAGAGACACGGGTAGTGAGAAGAAGGGCTGGGGCGGTGCCACGTGTTCACACTAATGTGGTTTTGTCAAAACAAAATACACAAACAAACTTCAATACTTACGAGACTGATCCGCTCTGAGCGACGGCTCCTTCAGCAGAGCCTTCCTTGATGGTAGCACCTGACTCCTGGCGAGTGATGCCGTCCTCAGTCTCCACCTGGAAGTTGTAGTAGGAGGCGTCGTCGGCTATGTGGCGTTCGTCAACCAGAATTTTGGGCGTCTCTGCTGAGTGTTGATCATAGACAGGTGAGGCCAGGGCCACAGCGGCCACGCAGGTGAGAACGATCTACCGGAAAATAATTTTTTTTTCGGATAAGGAATAATTCTGAGAAAAAAAAACCGGTTAATATTCGTCCATTGGCTGTCCACAGGTTCCCGCTATGTTTACCTGAGGTTATACTCCTCACTTAAAGTCAGTTGTCTCTTCACTTCTTCCTCCTCCTTCTAAGTTAGGTTAGGTAGGTTGGTTCTTTTGGGGTGAGAATAGGTTTTCTTTTGTGTATTTTGGTGTTTTACTCAAATATCTATTTTTGTACAAATTATGTTTATGTTAAAAATGATTTTTTTTTGCAAAAAAAAAACGCTCATTTGCACAAGAAATGAAGGTCAGATGTGAGTAAAACACACCGAAAAACGTAAAAAAAAACCTATTCTTATAAAAAAACCCTGAGAACAGTCAATAGATGAATATTTCCCCTAAAACTAATCAATGCATTATACTCAGTATTTTTTCTTTAAGACAAAATTTATTAATTGTATGCCTGGGACGTTATTGCTGCCCGCCAATGTTTAACTTACAAACTGCATGTTGTATATGTGAGTGTAAGTTAGAGCCAGCAGTGTGGGTTTATATACCCGGCTGCTTGATGACCCTGGGCACCTTCACTCGCTCACCTCCGGTAACCTTCGACATATTGGATTGGGTTCATGTCCCATTCTTTACAGTCTCAGTGTCTTCCATAGACTTTCTGAAGTGAAACACGAACTGTATGGTAAGCAATAGAGTATTCACAAATGTTATTATTACATAAAATATGAATATGAATAACTGGCGGCTACAAGCATCTTGAGGGATTGCGGGATAGAACACCGCCTGTGAGTTTTAGCCATGATATTACTAGGCTACTAAGACCTCTCCACCATCTCTAAGATTGTAAAAGTTATACAATTTGGATTATCACTGCGCTACCCTACTTAGGAACTCACGCGTTTCTACATTTTTTACCACTGTATAAATTTTCCGCTCTGATAAACGTGTCAATCTTCTGTCTATATTTCTGTAATTCTCCATAATTATATTACATCGGAGCCTCGCGAGATGATTCACATATCATCTTTTTCCCAGCGTTCATTGTTTTCGTTTTTTTAGTACACTTTCATTTGCTGCGACTAGTCAGGAAATACAAATACAATATACTAATACCAAAGACCATGGTCTTTGGTATTACCTAACTAGATTTTTCGTAACCTGCCCCAGATTTGGCTAGATTTTTCTTTTGAGTGATATTGATTGGCATTTTATTAGTACAACCAAATATAAATAATATGAACGAGATTGAAGACAGGTTCGTGAAGACGGAAAAAAGTATATATATATATATATATATATATATATATATATATATATATATATATATATATATATATATATATATATATATATATATATATATATATATATATATATATATATATATATATTTTTTTTTTTTTTTTTTTTTGGGTGGGGGGACTGTATAATATATAGATGGCAACAAACAATTCACCTTGAGAGTAAAGAGTAATCTAATTCATTTATCAAAAGAAATTTAAGTGCGATTTTCCAAGCGTTATTTATTCAAGTTCATAATATGGTCGCTACATTTTCTCACTCTTCCAGTCCACAAGTTAGATGAGGTATACGGGGTCTGTACTCAATGGCCTTGGTCTTGCCTCATTGGGATGATTATACGATATAATTAATAAATATTTCATCTCATTTTTATTTTGGGGGCTAGTTACCAGACCGAAACTGACTGACTGTCCTGCCACCTCACACAATCACACCAACTCTGACCAGCTAACGTGACATGGCCTTACGAAGTAACGTGGGTGATCTTAGCGAATGCATTGCAACTATTTTAGGTTCACTATCATATGAGTCTTTAATAATGTGATGGATAAGAGGCAAGTGTTTAATAATATTTGTTTATATTTTATATATGCCCCCGAGGGGCTAGTTTATTGGGCACCCCTTGTCATTCTGTACAAGGTGAAGCGCCAAAGTGTTTCCAGCGCCCAAATGGGAAGCATGCGTAGTTCATGCTTGCCTTCATGATTCAAGCATTAAGGGCGTAAAAGCCTGAAGGGTCATGGTTATGTGATGGATAGGATGGAGGACATGACAGCTTCAGTCACCTCAGTGGATGGGGAAAGGTCGCGGTAAAGTGGCCAATGATTTATTGAGATATATGCTCTGGACTAAATAAATCACCACCACGTCAATGTGTGTGTGTGTAAAAGTAATCGGCCGAAACGTTATTGAGTTGTGTGATCGTGTCAAGATTGATTTATGAACAACTATGGATATTAAAAATCACCAAAAGATTAGCCCATAACTTATTTCACCTTAAGATTAACCACCCTAACGCTAATCTAACCAAACTTAACATGCTCGAATCTAACCTAACCTGACCTGACCTGATCTAACCTAACCGTGACCCAAACGTCCGCTCACCGATGTCAACATATACTGCAGGCTCGATGTAAAAGCGAGATCCTGATGTAATTGAATGCGTTCTTGTAAGGAAATATGACGTAAGAATCACCGATAATCCAGAATCCAGAACCTTAATCCACTTTGGTACATTGGCCTGGTCAGAGGAACTTGTTCAATGACTGATTCACCTTTAACTAAGTTGAAAATTGACGGAGTGTTCATTCAACGAGTTTTTTTCCCTTGCACTCTAATGGCCTTGACAACTGCGCCATTACAGTGCCGTGCGGTTATGTGTTGTTATTCACGGTGAGCGAACATTTCGTCACCATGTTAATGAATGCGGTGTTATATTTATCAAACTCAGATACTAATATCATTATTTTGGAGACGATCAAGTCTTGGTTAGTATAGGTTAGGTTTATATTGAACCGGTGACGAAATTTCCGAGAGCATTTTATTTAGTTGAGTTATCACACGAATAAGAAGTCAGGAAAATACAGTGTTTTTTTATACATACATAGAAAATGTTAGTTCAATTATATAAACAACAAGTCAGGAGCACCAAATAATAGTGACTGAAATACTGACCTTCCATATACCAAGGTCACTTTGCGAAGGTCACTTGGAAACTTTCCGTGACCTCGTGTGTGTGTGTGTGTGTGTGTGTGTGTGTGTGTGTGTGTGTGTTTTGACCTTTACTCACTTGCAGTTAAATGTATGACTGTCACCCACACCTTCGACATCTCTCTGTCTGTTTCTGTCTGCCTGGATGTTTCTCCCTATCTCTCTGTTTCTGTCTGTCTGTCTGTCTGTCTATCTGTCTTCTCTCTCCCTCTCAGTCTGCTTATCTCTCTTTCTCTGTCTTTAATGACAGAAAAGGAATGAGACAGTGGATGAAGAAAAAACACTGAAATAAAATGACTGCTAAATTGATAAGAAAATCGATAAATAATGAGAGAGAGAGAGAGAGAGAGAGAGAGAGAGAGAGAGAGAGCATGGCGTGTCTACAGGTAGTAATGAGAGAATAAGCCTAGTAAATATTGTACCATGCAGTGAACGTCACTCACTCAAAAATCGCATCTTACCTCTCTCTCTCTCTCGGGTCCTCTCTCTCTCTCTCTCTCTCTCTCTCTCTCTCTCTCTCGGGTCATATGCAAATCGAAATCACTCAATCGGGGGCTATTTTTTGTCTGGTTTGCTAGGCGTCACGACCACTTTCAAAACGTTTACACGTATACATATAAAGACACACACACACACACGCGTAAATATTAAAATTAATAATAAAGATGAGTGAGTACAGTTAGTGGGATAAGTATACCATAAAGCTGGTGAACAATGGGAGGTTTCTCAAGCCCCTCATTACGTAATGGAGGTGAGGGACAAGCAGTATTGATTGGTCAGGCCTGTTATTTTTATGATACGGGGTTAAGTGATATCAGATCCTCGCTTACTGGCCAGTTTACTGTCACTGCTGCCCGTATGGTTGTGTACAAGGACAGCAATGTTGCCAATCTACACACACACACACACACACACACACACACACACATTAGTTACCACGGCACATTAATATTGTAATAAAAACATCCATAACATTATTAAACAAAGATCCAGATATATTTAACAGCCTTTTTCAGTCAATCTAATAATACGGAAGGTGGGTTGACCATGAACTGGATTATGATCAGTAAAACTTGCCGCGAGAAACAGTAATGTAAACAGCGGTTAACTCGTTGCTGCGGGAGACAGTAACTAGACCAGCAACCCACCTGCTCCACTTTACTGCTTCAGATAAGTTGTTCTTCAGCTTTTCGAGATTAATGCTCGTTTAGATCTATTCAAGATAAAGAAATGAGTTTATTCACTCCCTGTATTATAATAATCCCGACCGTAAAAGTATTCGTTCGTTACCTTGACCACGTCGCCTGTTTTACGATCTTCAACAGTGTCAATACCCGAGAACAAGGCTGATCAAAGTGTACACAAGTGGAGGCTGAGTCTGCCACGTCCACCCTGAACCAAAGACCTCCTAGGACTTTTATCACATTTTTCCCTGACTCTCTCCCTTTTTACAGTATTTATAAAATTATTAGTAGTATAATAAAGCGAATTGCTTCAGATAACACGGCTCACGAATACGACTGCGTCTATACTTGTGTCGGTCATTCTTACACACAGACATACACACACACATTGAGCCCTTGTAGATGGATGAACATGCAATTGATTTCACTGTATGTGTCGTATATGAGTAACACACACAGACACACACATAAGTGACCTGAGACTCGGGTAACCTGATACTAAATTAAACATAAGCCAATCCAATCCACAACTTACTCCCCAAATACTGCACAACAAAATATAGATAAAAATCATAAAGAATATTCATATTCCTGTATAATAATTTGTTTTTAATTACTATGGTATTACTCACACCATTATATTTATCACAATCATCCCTCACGAGCGTTTTTGGCTATACATCTAGATAAGCAACGAATTGAGCTAGGCATGAAATGAGCCAGTCAACGAACGTAACGGGAACATCGCGGTGTTTCCCAATACAGAGAGTACAGTAACAAGCCTCGTGGTGGTAGCAGCTCCTCCACTAGCAGGAAGTTCTTGCTGTCACTTCCACCTTCAGGAACGTAGCTATTACTCCCACTTTCCGGAAAGTATAACTGTCATTGTTAGTTAATTCCTTCAAGCTACTTTCACCTTCCGGAAACTAGCTGTCATCGTTAGCAGAAATTCTTACCCGTCAGTGTCATCTTTTTCAGAAGGTTATTATCGATAGTTGAAATTCTTGAACCCATTCTCGTCTTTCGGAAAGCTGTTATCATTATCATTATTATTAGCATCTTCCACGGGTGTGTTCAGGTGCAACGTTGGATAAGTTGGATAATTTTAGGTTTAGGAGGGAGCTAGGAAGGAACTGGTTCACAAATAGGGTGATGGACGAGTGGAACAAGCTTAGCAACTTTGTAGTAAGTGCTGGAACGCTGGGAAGTTTTAAAAGGAGGCTAGATAGATTCATGGATGATAGAGAGTGGTAGTAACTCTCGACAGGAGCTGCCATGCACAGGCCAACCGGCCTATTGCAGACTCCTTATTTTCTTATGTTCTTAACGTTACTTTGAACTCGCAATTGCGTGGAGGGTAATACATGTCTTGCATACTTAGGAC